CGAGGCAAAAAGACAGATGGTATTGGATAAAGTAAGTGAGCAATAAAATCTTTTTCAGAAATATTGGTTGTAATATTCTGGTTTTTTCAGGGGGAAAACATTCTTTTTGTTCTTCCTTCCAGTATGAGCAACTCACAGATGGTATTGGATAAAGTAAGTGAGCAATAAAATCTTTTTCAGAAATATTGGTTGTAATATTCTGGTTTTTTCAGGGGGAAAACATTCTTTTTGTTCTTCCTTCCAGTATGAGCAACTCACACAGATGAAAGCAGCCTTTGAAAAAAAGATGCAAAGACAGCATGAACTTAGTGAGGTATAATCTCTATATCATATTATCCTTTAAGAATACTTCAATAAAACTGAAGTTTTGGGTTGTATCTTTATTCATAAAGAATATCCTTCTGGTTAGACTCTAATTTTATATGAAATAGATTCACATCGAGTATGAAATAAAATGGGATGAAGTACCAAACAGTTTGAAAGCAAAACAGTGTTATGATTGCACTACTGTTTTTTTTGGGTTGGGGTTTTTTTTTTAACACCGCAATAGAAGCAAAGTTGGAAGAAGGGAGTGTGATGAGCATTTAGAGCTGTTCTTAAGTACAATCCTGGGTCAAACCAGTTTTAAGAATAGAATGATTTTTAAAGAAGGCTGTTTAATTAATGGTACCCATTCAACATAATGAGCTTGTAAAACTGTACTAGATGGAAATGATGAAAACCATTGCTTTAGAAACTTAAATTCTGTGGTTCACTGGGTATGCTTACTTTGGGCAACATGTTATATATGCTGTCAAACTTTGCACATTCTAAAGAGCAAATAGGGTAAAGTCATTACTTCAGAAAGCAGTTTGGGGAAGGAGAATAATTTCTTAGTATGTTTACCAGGATATGCATTAAAAGATGCAACTTTTCATAAAACAATTTCTGCGCTGAAATCTTCAGTATTTGCAAGACTTGCCACCTGAGAATACAACAGTCCATCAAAATAGCGTGCTTAGTACCTGAATTTCAAAATGCTCGAAAAGTAACAAAATACGAAATAGCAAGCAAGAAGTTAAGTGACAGCAAACTGAATTATTTCATTGGTGATCTAAATGAATTAAATGTTTCCTCACTTGAAAATCAGAATGGTCTGACTCCTAATGCCTCCTTTCTGTGTGATGTAAGTTGGCTTTAAAGTGGACGGAGGTAGTTGGCATTGAGAAACTTTCTACTTCTGTAAGAAATCACTTAAGAACAGGACGTAATACCCCACTGCTATGTTACCTTTTCTTTTTTCTACGTTAGATTTGCTGATTCAATTTAATGATGGTTAGGAGGCTGAGAGTTGGCGAGTTGCAGCTGGATTTTTGTGCTGTTTTTCCACATGTGCTGTATCTTCATATAGTGATGTTCACTGTGCACTACCTGGTATCTCCTGTTATCTCTCCTTCAAAGTTCCAGACAAGTCTTTTTACTTGTACTGTGGGTGAATTTTAGCCATCTTTTATTAGAGCAAACTCTCCTTATTTTGCACAAGATTAATTTAACAGGAAATTTCTGATTACATTACAGTTTTATAGGACATAAGTAAAATATTTTTCATTGGGTAGATGAAGGGTAGTCCAAGCATCTAAAATCTATACATATCTTAGCTTTGCAGTTCTGGCTCTGTACAGACTCCTACTGAAGACGTGAATCACGTTCTGATTAACTGTCCAAATGTATTAGAGGAAAAATAATGCAGTTACACGCAATAAGCAGAAATAAGGTTTGAAGTTCATAAGAACAGAAGAATGAGTATACTGGTTTAGATCAGCAGCCCATCTACTTCTTGAGTAGGTGCTTTTTCCTTTCCTGTCTTCCTCTCCACAGTCATTTCAAGGCTATTTAAAAGCTGAACAGTAGGTGTTTTTTTACTTTTTTATACTTCTCAGGTTTACTACTGACTTTGAGTTTCAAAAGTAGATCCTATTTATTGAAGACACTTGAAATGCTAGTTCTACTCGGAAATCATGCACTCGAGAACCTGTCAGATTTCCAAGTTTGATGCTTTCTACAGTGTAGGCTAAAAGTTGAAAAGCTTTATACATTTGTGAGAATGATTGTGAATCAAGACCTAAACTAGCAATGCTTTTCTCACATTGAATCCCTTCTAGTTTAACAAGCTATACTGTTTCTTGGAGATGAAGCTTCATCCGGTCACTTAGGCTTTTATGTAATAATAATGCTCTATTCACATATCTCATATTTATATAGTCATTTATCTTTCTTCCTGGAAATGCAGGTTTTGATGGACAGTTTAATATTACATAGGAGTTTTTATTTCCTTAGAGTTGCAGTCCAAGTGCTCTGCAAGCCAGACTTAAAGTAGCTGCTCATGAAGCTGAAGAGGAATCTGACACTATTGCAGAAGACTTCTTGGAAGGCAAAACAGAAATAGATGACTTCCTTAGTAGTTTCATGGAAAAGAGAATGGTATGTAATATACAAGTCATTCTAATCTGAGAGATATACAACACATAGTGAATAAATTAAAGACTTAGAGTTTGAGCAGTCTTGTGATACAGAACAGTGCTTTAGTAAGCTCCAACAAAAGAAAAATATATCCCTAAGTGGCTTCAGTCTATTTAGAATATAATCTGCACTCTGAAGGCACATATTTTTAAGGCAGGAGTGCAAAGGTCTCCTGCATTAGACCCTAGTGCTGTGTTGTTGCAGATATTTTTGTGCCACTTTCTTCTATATAGATATGGGGGAGATAGCCACATGGACAATATTAAATTTGTAAGTCGACATAGAATGACATGTTATCTTAAGCAACCTTAATGTTTAATTTATTAAACTCTAATTATTCTGTTGATGGCTATCACCAAATAAGTAACTGAGGTTCAAAAATCACCATTCTTGCTCGTGCTGTGACAAGAGCAACTTACCGGCTAGTGTACCTTTCTTTAAAGATGCCTAATAAATGCATTTCATAACATAGGAAACAATTATCTTCTCTTGTAAACAGTTGTGGATGGAATAACGTTATCAATATAGACAGTTGTTCAGCCTGAAGCTTGGAAGGGAGGTAGTTCACAGGGTTTTCCTTCTTTAAAGAGCCTGCAAAGTAGCTAAATCATTAAAGAGAAACTGTGGTATGCATTATAGAAAATTCCTTTCAGAATTCACTTTTCCTATGTCTTGTTTTGTAGCTCTGCCACTGTAGACGAGCCAAAGAGGAAAAACTTCAACAGGCAATAGCAATGCACAGCCAATTTCATGCTCCGCTATAGGTAAACTGCTGTTTTCATATTTGTGGTGAACTTTTTTTTTCTTTTCTTTTTTTACAATTTACCTCACTGTCACACACCTACAAATTGCTAACTGCAAATAGATTTGTTACAATGCTTTGTATTCTAACAAAGCTTTCTGTGGAAATCAAGTATGTACTGCATCTGTTGTATTTAAAACATAACTTCTGGAGGAGTTAAAAATGTCTAATTATGGAAATTTGTCTTTACAGACTTCCTGCAAACTACACCTGCCAAGAGAACGAGTGAAAAACCCAATAAAGCACACTTTTTAATAACTATTATTTGCAAATAAGCATTTCATCTTATGTGGTTGTATTTATAGAAGAGATTGTATACAGAGTTGGGATGGGTTTTGTACAAATTAGAATGTCTCTTTATATTCTCATTGTACTCAAGAATCCTTCTATTGCAATCTTTGCACTAATTTCTTGTATTTATTATTGATAGTTCTTATTATATTTAAGTTCCTGCTGCTATACTCCATTCTTCAGAGATTAAATATCTAAACATGTAATTTTGACTAGCTTTTTACATTTTTATAAAAACACAATTCATATCTTTTGTATTTTGAACTTTAAACATAGATTTGGCTTGATCTGTGGAAGAGTTTGAGATAAATGGTGATAGGGCTTTGGAAACTGAAGAAGTTCATAATTTGAGATTGTCAGTGGATTCACAAGCTGTCTTTTCTTGAAGCCAAAATGTTTAAGAAGTAGTTTTTTACTTTTAAGTGATAATACAAAATTAAGTATAGCCTGTATTGTGTTTTGGATAAGTAGATTTGGATTAAGCAAAGGATACGTTGGAACAAATTATATTGGAATGAAAATAGCATAAATGATCTCTGTGTAGATTTGGTATGTTGCTCAGTAACACCGATGCACTTGATTTCAGGAGTGGCTTGGTACCTACCACTGTAATTAAACACAATTTTCATCTAACGATTTCATTTTCATATTTGTTTTTACTTAAAGGAAAAATAATCAGGTCACCTCCCAATTTCTGCTTTATGCAATATGAAATGTTCATCATGTGAGGAACTCAAAAGCACTTTAGAAAAACTAGTTCTGAAGTTGTCTGTGAAGTAGCAGTTCTTTTTTCCTAATTTTAAGGAACAAAGAAACTAATTTGGCTAGAGTTGCATAGTGTGTTATGTTAAGGCCAGTGATAGAATTTGGAAGCAAGACTTAATTCTGCCCTTTAATCACTGAATCTTGCCTCTGGTGAGCTGACTTTTTTTAGGACGAGGGTGTATCTGGTGAGAATGGATAGGACCAAGTGCAGTATTCTATAGGAGAAAAATACAACCCTTAAATAAATACGTGCTTGTATGTTCTCTCTTGCTCTTGCAAAAAGACACGTTCTTTTTCTTAATCTTGTCAGTGCATTAGGTTTTCACAGAGACAGACAAGTTCCAGAAGAACAGAAGAATTGTACAGTTCTGAGAGCTAAAGAAGATGAAGCACTGATTAAGTAATCTATCAGGAATCCTGCTTCTTTCTTGTCAGGAAGCAGTCTGGAGATAAACCTCTTAGCCAAGACACTGCCTCTGTGTTACCTAGATATGGTCACAGAACATCACAGATTCGAGTCTCAAACTAAAGCATGTCAGTCCAAGCGAGTTCTTTTCTGTATCACTCTTCTTCAGTCAGTCCTAAAGGTTTTAATATTCTGTTTTTTTCAGGGGGAAAACATTCTTTTTCTTCTTCCTTCCAGTATGAGCAACTCACGCAGATGAAAGCAGCCTTTGAAAAAAAGATGCAAAGACAGCATGAACTTAGTGAGGTATAATCTCTATATCATATTATCCTTTAAGAATACTTCAATAAAACTGAAGTTTTGGGTTGTATCTTTATTCATAAAGAATATCCTTCTGGTTAGACTCTAATTTTATATGAAATAGATTCACATCGAGTATGAAATAAAATGGGATGAAGTACCAAACAGTTTGAAAGCAAAACAGTGTTATGATTGCACTACTGTTTTTTTTGGGTTGGGGGTTTTTTTTTAACACCACAATAGAAGCAAAGTTGGAAGAAGGGAGTGTGATGAGCATTTAGAGCTGTTCTTAAGTACAATCCTGGGTCAAACCAGTTTTAAGAATAGAATGATTTTTAAAGAAGGCTGTTTAATTAATGGTACCCATTCAACATAATGAGCTTGTAAAACTGTACTAGATGGAAATGATGAAAACCATTGCTTTAGAAACTTAAATTCTGTGGTTCACTGGGTATGCTTACTTTGGGCAACATGTTATATATGCTGTCAAACTTTGCACATTCTAAAGAGCAAATAGGGTAAAGTCATTACTTCAGAAAGCAGTTTGGGGAAGGAGAATAATTTCTTAGTATGTTTACCAGGATATGCATTAAAAGATGCAACTTTTCATAAAACAATTTCTGCGCTGAAATCTTCAGTATTTGCAAGACTTGCCACCTGAGAATACAACAGTCCATCAAAATAGCGTGCTTAGTACCTGAATTTCAAAATGCTCGAAAAGTAACAAAATACGAAATAGCAAGCAAGAAGTTAAGTGACAGCAAACTGAATTATTTCATTGGTGATCTAAATGAATTAAATGTTTCCTCACTTGAAAATCAGAATGGTCTGACTCCTAATGCCTCCTTTCTGTGTGATGTAAGTTGGCTTTAAAGTGGACGGAGGTAGTTGGCATTGAGAAACTTTCTACTTCTGTAAGAAATCACTTAAGAACAGGACGTAATACCCCACTGCTATGTTACCTTTTCTTTTTTCTACGTTAGATTTGCTGATTCAATTTAATGATGGTTAGGAGGCTGAGAGTTGGCGAGTTGCAGCTGGATTTTTGTGCTGTTTTTCCACATGTGCTGTATCTTCATATAGTGATGTTCACTGTGCACTACCTGGTATCTCCTGTTATCTCTCCTTCAAAGTTCCAGACAAGTCTTTTTACTTGTACTGTGGGTGAATTTTAGCCATCTTTTATTAGAGCAAACTCTCCTTATTTTGCACAAGATTAATTTAACAGGAAATTTCTGATTACATTACAGTTTTATAGTAAATAAGTAAAATATTTTTCATTGGGTAGATGAAGGGTAGTCCAAGCATCTAAAATCTATACATATCTTAGCTTTGCAGTTCTGGCTCTGTACAGACTCCTACTGAAGACGTGAATCACGTTCTGATTAACTGTCCAAATGTATTAGAGGAAAAATAATGCAGTTACACGCAATAAGCAGAAATAAGGTTTGAAGTTCATAAGAACAGAAGAATGAGTATACTGGTTTAGATCAGCAGCCCATCTACTTCTTGAGTAGGTGCTTTTTCCTTTCCTGTCTTCCTCTCCACAGTCATTTCAAGGCTATTTAAAAGCTGAACAGTAGGTGTTTTTTTACTTTTTTATACTTCTCAGGTTTACTACTGACTTTGAGTTTCAAAAGTAGATCCTATTTATTGAAGACACTTGAAATGCTAGTTCTACTCGGAAATCATGCACTCGAGAACCTGTCAGATTTCCAAGTTTGATGCTTTCTACAGTGTAGGCTAAAAGTTGAAAAGCTTTATACATTTGTGAGAATGATTGTGAATCAAGACCTAAACTAGCAATGCTTTTCTCACATTGAATCCCTTCTAGTTTAACAAGCTATACTGTTTCTTGGAGATGAAGCTTCATCCGGTCACTTAGGCTTTTATGTAATAATAATGCTCTATTCACATATCTCATATTTATATAGTCATTTATCTTTCTTCCTGGAAATGCAGGTTTTGATGGACAGTTTAATATTACATAGGAGTTTTTATTTCCTTAGAGTTGCAGTCCAAGTGCTCTGCAAGCCAGACTTAAAGTAGCTGCTCATGAAGCTGAAGAGGAATCTGACACTATTGCAGAAGACTTCTTGGAAGGCAAAACAGAAATAGATGACTTCCTTAGTAGTTTCATGGAAAAGAGAATGGTATGTAATATACAAGTCATTCTAATCTGAGAGATATACAACACATAGTGAATAAATTAAAGACTTAGAGTTTGAGCAGTCTTGTGATACAGAACAGTGCTTTAGTAAGCTCCAACAAAAGAAAAATATATCCCTAAGTGGCTTCAGTCTATTTAGAATATAATCTGCACTCTGAAGGCACATATTTTTAAGGCAGGAGTGCAAAGGTCTCCTGCATTAGACCCTAGTGCTGTGTTGTTGCAGATATTTTTGTGCCACTTTCTTCTATATAGATATGGGGGAGATAGCCACATGGACAATATTAAATTTGTAAGTCGACATAGAATGACATGTTATCTTAAGCAACCTTAATGTTTAATTTATTAAACTCTAATTATTCTGTTGATGGCTATCACCAAATAAGTAACTGAGGTTCAAAAATCACCATTCTTGCTCGTGCTGTGACAAGAGCAACTTACCGGGTAGTGTACCTTTCTTTAAAGATGCCTAATAAATGCATTTCATAACATAGGAAACAATTATCTTCTCTTGTAAACAGTTGTGGATGGAATAACGTTATCAATATAGACAGTTGTTCAGCCTGAAGCTTGGAAGGGAGGTAGTTCACAGGGTTTTCCTTCTTTAAAGAGCCTGCAAAGTAGCTAAATCATTAAAGAGAAACTGTGGTATGCATTATAGAAAATTCCTTTCAGAATTCACTTTTCCTATGTCTTGTTTTGTAGCTCTGCCACTGTAGACGAGCCAAAGAGGAAAAACTTCAACAGGCAATAGCAATGCACAGCCAATTTCATGCTCCGCTATAGGTAAACTGCTGTTTTCATATTTGTGGTGAACTTTTTTTTTCTTTTCTTTTTTTACAATTTACCTCACTGTCACACACCTACAAATTGCTAACTGCAAATAGATTTGTTACAATGCTTTGTATTCTAACAAAGCTTTCTGTGGAAATCAAGTATGTACTGCATCTGTTGTATTTAAAACATAACTTCTGGAGGAGTTAAAAATGTCTAATTATGGAAATTTGTCTTTACAGACTTCCTGCAAACTACACCTGCCAAGAGAACGAGTGAAAAACCCAATAAAGCACACTTTTTAATAACTATTATTTGCAAATAAGCATTTCATCTTATGTGGTTGTATTTATAGAAGAGATTGTATACAGAGTTGGGATGGGTTTTGTACAAATTAGAATGTCTCTTTATATTCTCATTGTACTCAAGAATCCTTCTATTGCAATCTTTGCACTAATTTCTTGTATTTATTATTGATAGTTCTTATTATATTTAAGTTCCTGCTGCTATACTCCATTCTTCAGAGATTAAATATCTAAACCTGGAATTTTGACTAGCTTTTTACATTTTTATAAAAACACAATTCATATCTTTTGTATTTTGAACTTTAAACATAGATTTGGCTTGATCTGTGGAAGAGTTTGAGATAAATGGTGATAGGGCTTTGGAAACTGAAGAAGTTCATAATTTGAGATTGTCAGTGGATTCACAAGCTGTCTTTTCTTGAAGCCAAAATGTTTAAGAAGTAGTTTTTTACTTTTAAGTGATAATACAAAATTAAGTATAGCCTGTATTGTGTTTTGGATAAGTAGATTTGGATTAAGCAAAGGATACGTTGGAACAAATTATATTGGAATGAAAATAGCATAAATGATCTCTGTGTAGATTTGGTATGTTGCTCAGTAACACCGATGCACTTGATTTCAGGAGTGGCTTGGTACCTACCACTGTAATTAAACACAATTTTCATCTAACGATTTCATTTTCATATTTGTTTTTACTTAAAGGAAAAATAATCAGGTCACCTCCCAATTTCTGCTTTATGCAATATGAAATGTTCATCATGTGAGGAACTCAAAAGCACTTTAGAAAAACTAGTTCTGAAGTTGTCTGTGAAGTAGCAGTTCTTTTTTCCTAATTTTAAGGAACAAAGAAACTAATTTGGCTAGAGTTGCATAGTGTGTTATGTTAAGGCCAGTGATAGAATTTGGAAGCAAGACTTAATTCTGCCCTTTAATCACTGAATCTTGCCTCTGGTGAGCTGACTTTTTTTAGGACGAGGGTGTATCTGGTGAGAATGGATAGGACCAAGTGCAGTATTCTATAGGAGAAAAATACAACCCTTAAATAAATACGTGCTTGTATGTTCTCTCTTGCTCTTGCAAAAAGACACGTTCTTTTTCTTAATCTTGTCAGTGCATTAGGTTTTCACAGAGACAGACAAGTTCCAGAAGAACAGAAGAATTGTACAGTTCTGAGAGCTAAAGAAGATGAAGCACTGATTAAGTAATCTATCAGGAATCCTGCTTCTTTCTTGTCAGGAAGCAGTCTGGAGATAAACCTCTTAGCCAAGACACTGCCTCTGTGTTACCTAGATATGGTCACAGAACATCACAGATTCGAGTCTCAAACTAAAGCATGTCAGTCCAAGCGAGTTCTTTTCTGTATCACTCTTCTTCAGTCAGTCCTAAACTCGATGCTCTTCTAGCAAAATGCAATAAGGTATTTCTTCTGAATTGGAGAAAAGTGAGTAAATTTGGAGTTAGGAAAATCATGTAAGTGCAAGAAGTCTGTTCCACAGGCTAGTGAATCTTCAAATGGGGCTTTAGTCTCAGCCCTGTCATACTTTACTGTGGTTGTCTGTCTTAAGCTACTGCCTTTCAGGGCGAGTAGACTATTAGCTGGTATTTGATGAGATTTTTCTTTGTAAAGCTGGTCCAAATTCTGAGATTAGATGTCTCAAGCAAATAGAGCTATGGTCCAAATCAAAGAAGATACTTAGGTGCCTGAAAAAATAAACAGGTTGTAAGTGCCATGGTTAAGCAATAATTTTAGAGTATCTTCTCGCAAAAAAACATTTCTACTGACTGTGCATAATACTGCTTGTGTATTGACATAGCACTTCTGCTAATGTGCTAACTAAAGCCCTAATTAAAAATGAGATCGCATAGGTTTCCAAGTGGTTCTGGACTTCGGTGTCTGAGGAGTGTGATTTCTGCAGCTCTGGAGAAAAGTTAGATTCAAGTCATCAGTGTTTCCTTCTTGGCAAACTGTCTATTGTTGTGCTGAGTGTACAAGTTGTTTTGGGTCTTTTTCTGAGTATCTAGCTAGCGAGCTTGAAGACTAGACACAATCCTGTACAGGGCTGCCTTTTTTTGTTGTTGTTTCTTCCTTGTAAGCAGAGAAAGGAACAGATGACCAAACACCCAGTGTTGGGCCAGTATCTTCTTCATACATTTTTACAATGGCATGGAATGGCAGACTTCTGTCCTCATCTGCCTCCTCCTGTTGAATGTTATGTGGTGTATTACGATGCTCTACTGTGACTGAACTCTCTAGCCAGATCACCTTCAGGGGATTTGCTTCCCAAACTAGTGCAAGTTCTCAACACTTCAGCTTTTCCTCCTCCCTTACTTTTGTGAGCAAATTTACAAATTCAGGACTTCTCCATGGAGTCCTGATGATGATAACGGAGGAGAGTCTATATTGTGGTTTAACCTGTCAGGCAGCTACACACCACGCAGCCGTTCGCTCACTGCCCCTGCAGTGGGGTGGGGGAAAGAATCGGGGGAAAAAAAAGGGAAATTCATGGGTTGAAATAAAGACAGTTTAATAGGACAGAAAAGGAAGGGAAAATAATAATGATGATAATAATGATAAAAGAATACACAAGCCAAGTGATGCACAATGCAATTTCTCACCACCCACCGACCGATGCCCAGCCAGTTCCTGAGCAGTGGTCATCGCCCCCCATTTATATACTGAGCCACAACGTCCCATGGTATGGAATATCCCTTTGGCCAGTTTGGGTCAGCTGTCCTGGCTGTGCCCCCTCCCACCTTCTCGCTGGCAGGGCATGAGGAGCTGAAAAGTCCTTGACTAATGTAAGCACTACTTGCAACAACTAAAACATCGGTGTGTTATCAACATTATTCTCATCCTAAATCCAAAACACAGCACTGTACCAGCTACTAGGAAGAAAATTAACTCTATCCCAGCCGAAACCAGGACAGTCTAGAAGAAAATGTCACTGTTCAATGCAAGTTCTTAGTACAGTGTTTCTTGTTCAGGAACATGAAAGTTTAAGGTCTTCTCTTTTCTCCCTTTCTATTCTCTCATATCGTTGTTCCTATTCTTAGGCTTTTTTCCCCGTTTTTTAGCCCCTTCTGCAGTCACAAACCCCTCCTGTAGAAAAGAAGAACAGAAGTCTCTGTATTCAACAACGCTGTACCGGGTTAGCTACAGGTATCCTGTCACATGCAGGAATGGCCAGCCTGTTTCTGGCCCTTAAAGGACAAGCCAACCTGCTGCTGGTTTGTTTTTTTTCTTTTCTTTTAGTCCTACACTGGTTGTGCCAATGCAAACATTTTTCCTTATAGATAATCTTCATACTTTACCAGAAGACTTAGTAGAACACTGGTAACACTGTCAGAGTTAGGTTTTTTGGCTTCTAGCACGCTGGTAGTTCACTGTTAAGCGCATTCCTTACATTGTTTTGCCAAAATGTGGCATGTAGGTGTAAATCCAGCTTTAAACAATTCCCTTTGAAATGTAAGATTATGGCAGCTGCTGTTAGATGCATATTCTAAAATCTTTTGAAATGTGTCAAGTGAACTCTTAAGCAATCTGGAATAATAGGCTACATACAGTGACTTGTTTCTGGAGATCCTTACACTTGTGTCATGCTCATGGTGAGGTGTTCTGCCAAGTGGAAAAGTGAAATAAATGAGCAAGGAATACAAGAGTAAGGAGGTGGTGCTTGTCTCTGGTGTTGCAGTAGTTTGGGGTGGGGGTGAGGGTGCATTCTGTATTGTAACTGCTAATTGAGTCTGGGTTTTGCCTAATTTTAACTTCTGATCTTACTGCTAAATGTTTTCTATAGCTGAATTTAGGCTTTTTGTTCCTCCCTGAGTCAAGTGACTACTTAAATCCAGAACTGAATTCTCCATGTAGCAATTGTAACTAATGCTATTTGCAGACCAGAGAGATTGTAAGGTGTAAGTCTGGAATTAAGTAGGTTTCATTTTAGGACGATCTTGTATATAACTGGTGTTAATGGGACATTCTGCTGGGGCTTATAGAAGAAAGCTTTTCTAGATTTCACAGTGTATTTGACATGCTAACCTTTCTGAAAGACAGGGTGTCTGAAAGACACGTCTGAAAGACACACAGCTATGCTAGCCACCACTACAAGCAAGAGACTATAATGAAGTATCTAATGATCTACTACAGTTCTGTTATTTGCGCTGTACATACTCCTGCAGCTTTGCCACTTTGGACCTTGACCAAATGCGGAAGTTAGAAATCTTATAGTCTTGTTTCTGTCCAAGTTCTTATTACTCCCTTCAAAAACTAGGATAATTTTTTTTAAAAGAGACATTTGAGAGACCTTCAGGTAAAACTGAATTAAAACTGGCAACAAAGTTAAGTCAGTTGTCACAGCCTTATTGTGTACATTATTCTGAACAGTAAATACTGTAATGTGTTAAACTTAGAAATAAAGGCTTTGGGATTTGTAATATACCTTGTAATTGTCTAACTAGGGATAGAGTTGGGCATTGCAGGACTTGTTGGGTGGATACAGAATTGTGTTGGAAACATGTAGTAGGCTACTCAAGGACAAACTTTTAATCTTTGTGCGTAGTGATTTGAGCTTTTCCTGTTTAACCCTTTCAACAGCAGTAATTCCTGGAGCCACCTTCACTAAAATGGGCTTTGAGAACCCATATTGCATCTCTGACTACTGCTTTTGTAAATGCCTCGTTTTGGTCAGATACCTGTAGAGATCAAATTTATATGTAGTAATAAGCTACAAAGAAAGCTTGTATATCAATAATAGGGGAATACCTTAACATAAAGCACCGTGTTCTTTAGTCTCCAGAAACAGAATAAATTAATCTGAATAACCTGGGCAACCAGCAGACTTAAAAATGAGTCCTTGCCTGAATTCAGTCACAACTATTCTGGTGGACCTATAAGGTTTCATTAGCTTCTGTCCAGAATGATTTGTAATAAAAGACCACTACATTTTATTTTAAGATTTAACATGATTTGCTGGGTCCAGGTGCTTTACTGGCAATTTAACGAATATAAGTAAAGTTGAATGCTTATTTTACCTTTCCTTCTCATCGCCCCACTCTCTGGCAATGTTTCTGGCCTTTCTGAATTTGGGGTTTGCTGTACACTTGGCCCTAGATTTTTGGCAGATTTTTCACTAGCCTTAGTACTGTGATAAGCTGCTCTACTTTTAACTTACCCCACCACACGTTCTTCCCTTCTCAAATGAATTGTCGGTGACTTACCTGTCCTTGGAGGATTTTTCAGTCACTCTGGTGTTTACCTGCCTCTGCACTACCAGAGTGTAAGGGTGACCAGCCAACCTAAAAGCTACACTCAACCTTCAGCCTATGTGCAGAAGCAGCCCGTTGCCTCGACTGTGATGTTTGTGATCGATAAACTTGAGGACTCTGTGTGCAGATCAGGGTAGTGTCCACATAAAAGCATCAAGTTAGCTGGTCAACAGTGACAAAATGCTTATCTTCATTGCAAAGGCTACCTCCTTGTTGTTGCTGGGTTTTAATTGTTACTAGTTTGTGTCATCAAACATCTTTCATGCTACGTAAACTGGTGCTCTGGCTTGCCCCTGTCTTCAAAGAGTGTGGTTCCCTGCCTTTCTGCTAATTTTACAAAGAGCTTTCCTTCCCTGCTTCCCTCCTTCTGCTTATTTTTTTCTCTTTCTCTCCTTACTTTTAATTATAACCTTCGGTCTGAGTTGTGCCCCCCAACTTTTTAATTTTATTTCTCAGCTTTTCAGAATCCATTACCAGTTTACCACCTTTGTCTATGTCTTGTATAGAGCTACCAATAAAAGCAGCTGGTGAATACGTTTTCTTTTGTTCTTTAGATGGTGGTCTTTTGTAGCGAAAACTTCAGCTGTTTAATCCCATTGCTTTCAGTGTCCTTTAGATGCAAATTTTCGTACTAAAGAAGAGCCTGAACCTAGTGAGGCTAAAATTACACCACAGAAGTCTATAATGCTCTTCTAATCCTTTCTTTCCAGCTGTTTAGTTATGTTCATGTGTTTCCCATTTCAAATTACAGTGGGCTTATGCCAAATTTGCAACGATTTGCAGCAGAGGGGAGATCCCCACAAAGCTACAAGAAATCAGTGTAGTTCATAGTGTGGTTTTTCTCACCCTTTTTGTTCCGCATTCCCTAAAAAAAAAAAAAAAGTAATAGGGGTGTAACATGTTCCTATATAATTAACTCAATTGACAGGAGCCTCAGTTTTCTTAGTTACCAGTTGTAGATTCCTCCACAGCTTAAACTACTGGATTCAAGTATCGGAAGTAGGGAAGATACAAAAATCCCTTGATCTCAGTGATAAAGTGACTCTTGAGTAAATGAAGAAATATATTAGAAAAATTGGGAAGGCAAACCTTTGTTTCATTCACTGGTGTGAAATAACGTAACACTAAATGACCTAAGTGTTTATTTGAAAGTGTTTCTCAGCAGGCTAATAGTGCCACAAATACATACATTACAATGAAAACAGTAGTAGCTAATGCAAAATTCCGAGGACTGAAAGACACATCACAGAGGGCTGCTAAGTAAAGGCTTAATATAAAATGTTACTGTGTTAATATTTTAGTTGTAAAGCTAGTTACAAGGAGTTCCATAAGCAACATGAAGACACTGCTTTGACTTTGCATATATTGCTGTTCTGCATGTATTTCTAGACATATCTAATAGGACACAATACCATCATACACAATTTTACGTTTTAAAGATGTGCAATAATATTGCCCATTTTCAAACTCATTTTTAGGTGGAATATTTGTGTGGTTTGTTTGCATTGCTGATTTTGCAGCATGTTTCTTTAGTTTGAGAAAACCCATTCAAAATCTCCTTTAATACCATAAATTTTACAGGCTATGTTCAAAATATGAAACATTTTTAAAAGTGCAATTAAAATCAGGGCTTTTTTTTATTAAAAATTCATAAAGATTAAAAAAGAGAAGGCTAGATTCTCAACAGAGTATAAATTGTAGCTGTATTTATTTCAGTTGAGCTACAGTGATTTATCAAATTGAGGATCTGGCCTTTCCAGTATAACATTAAGATAAATCTTGCTGTTAGGAATTGAATTATTTTTTCAAAGACAGCAGCTCCCTTAAGAGGATATTAATAATTTTAACTGCTTGCTTTAATAATTTAAAAAAAAAAAAAAACACCAACAAAAACTTGGAAGAATTACATCCTGATATGGAAGCTTTTTGATGAGTTTCAAAACATCTCAAATCTTAAGCATTTTTCAGTGGTTTATTTCCATACCTGATTATAAAAAACTTGGAAGAATTACATCCTGATATGGAAGCCTTTTTGATGAGTTTCAAAACATCTCAAATCTTAAGCATTTTTCAGTGGTTTATTTCCATACCTATGATTATAAAATCTATTACTCCTACTCTTAAAAACTATGAACGAGATTACACTTTCTCTTGTGGTGAATCAGTCTTTTTCTTAAATTAGCACTGCCGTGCTCTGTTCAGGTTGCAAATTCTAAAAGGGAAATTCTGTGAGGATGAAAAAAAAACCCCTTGGTTGTGGTTAGTTTATTTTGAACAATAAAATTTGGAAGAAATATTCTTTATAACAGTTCCTTTACGGGCATAACCTTCCTTTAATTCTGAATTTGGAGTGATGCTTTCGTAAGTGATTTTTATAAGTGATTTTGGATCCCATATTCTCTCTACTGTATATGTACTTCATTCCCACCGAAATAAAACATTGACAAGTAGGAATCAAAATAGGCCAGAGAATTTGGGGGTTTATTACCTTTAAAATTTTACCTTTATATCTTATGTAGGCAGTTTGGAAGAAGGGTAAGATCTGAACAATCAAACTTGAGAACAAAACATAAAGAGGCTAGAGCATACTGCCTAACGTACCGTTCATTATAAAGGGATGCTTTACCACGAAGGCTGTGTAAGTATTGTTATATTCCTTGAAGTTTTGCTCACAGAAACTACTGAACTTTCAACACTGATTGAGATTGAGTACAAATGGGATGCATTCATGTGCAGCAGTAGCGGCTGCTTACTAAAGGATATTTTTGCAGGATCAAAGCTTCATTTGTCCCCTAAGCAAGCACGTCCATTTGTTAGTTTTACTTTGTCATAAAGGATGCTAGTAGGAGAATATGCAAAATAATTGTTGGAATTCAAAATTTAACACCTCCCATGAAAAAAAAAGCAAAGAATACACACAACATGTCTGAAGGCAAAAGAGCTCTACAAAAATAAGTTTTGACTGATTCACCAGTAAGGCTAATGCTAATGAATCTTCAACCTTGTCCCTACGTGTAAGAGAGTACTTTGGAATTTCACGTCTTCAGAGAACTATTATTTTGTACAATAAATAATTAAGGAAATGTACAAAGTAAGGAATGAATATGTACAGCATTGATAAAGTTAAAACAAATAGCACGTTGGCTTAACTAAACGTAACAGCAGATACTACCTTTCTTTAGCATTATGTCTTAAAACTAATAATGGCTTGTTCTGCTTAGATCTTTACTTACACAATTGCACAGTCCCCTTTCTTTGGATTATTTCTTTAGGCCACAGACCACTCCCATTCTTCATCTGATGAAAAGATGTCATTCCAGATAGCGAAAGACTCAACTTCATCTGGATCCTTGCTGTTGTGAAGGTATTTCAGACTGCCAGAAATACAGCCTCATCTGAATCCTTGCCACTGTCTTCACTAGGCAAGCAGCCACCCCCACTTGGGGACCTACAGCTTAAGTCCTCCACACCAGACTCCTGATCGCTGTTAGCCGAGAGGTCAGGATCAGAGCTTTTCAGGTTGTCCTGTGTCAAAATCAGGGCTGAATCTTCTTCATCCCCTTGTGAAGGGCTCCGGGATGGGAATGATTTCAGATCGTTGCTATACTCCTGGGGAGTGTTAGCTAAGCTGTTGTCAGAAGTAGAAAGCCCTAACTGTTTGCTTCGGTCTTGTTGCTTACTCCTGACTTTATCATCGTTTAATTGTGATTTCTGAAGATTAGCCAATCTCTGAAATAAAGGAAACAGTATATATTACATGGACACATTTAGGGCCCAGTGATCCTCTTACGTGTCTTTGCCTTTTTAAAAAACAACGAAAGAAACTAAGTTCAGAGCACAACCCAATTGGCACCCTTTAAAACTGCCTATTTGCATTTACAGACTATGAGAAGTGCACGATTTATCACAAACCAATTCCTTCCAAGTTACAGAAAGATATAAAATTTCTTTCAGGAGTAGTGCTTGTGCACCAACACAAGTGAAATTTTATCCCTAAAGACAAAAAGTCCACTGTTGTGTCTTAGATGCAAAACATTAATAGTAATTTATGTGAGAACAAAGATGACGGCTGAACATCCTCGTGCCGGAAAAGAATGTAGCATGTATGGGACGGTGCAGCGTATGGAATTGGGTTTCATTTACCATCAGTTAAGTCTGGGGCATCGAGATCAAGTGTTTATTACCTCTCCTAAGACCTCCAGCTCTTCTTCCAGCTGCTGAGTTTCTTCCTTCACTGCCATCAGATAATCAGTAACTGACTGTCGAGGATGCAGCCCCTTTTCAAAGCGGTTGTACATACCACTCCAGAACCTGGAATTGATGGGAAGGTCAGCAATTTTCTCAGTTGGTGAGGTGGCCTCAGAAGACTTAAATAACGCTTTTTTTTTTTTCCCCCAGACACGTTGTCCTGAATGATCCATCCATGGATTATTCATCATTAGAGTGCATATACCTAAGTTCATTGAATATTTGGGAAGATTTATGGTTCATTTGCATTGGGTCTGTCCTGAAAATGCAACTCTGTGGACACACACAGCTTGAACCAATTCTGATACAATAGAAAGAAAGGTGAATGTACCTTTGACTTAGATCACATGGCTGAGGGAGGTTCACTGAACACAAACTTTTGCTGCATTATTTTCTTGTTCTACACTATGGGCCTTGGAGCAATGGTACCTATAAAACAGCCAAGGTTAAGGGCAGTTTTTCATAATCCTAGTTCTCAACCGTTGTTTAACTTCCCATGAAGTCAACTTTGACATTCCGTTTGCTTGTTTTTGTCTGGGGCTGGGGGGGTGGGGGTAAGGTGCAGCTAGTTAACAGGTTTTTTTCCCCCTGTAAAGAAGAGTTAAAAATCAGGAGTAAAAAATAGCGTGGCGTCCTGTTCTCTTAAAATTTAACCTGACATTTTAAACTGGTCTATGGAAATTGCATGAAGCATATATGTTGGCAAGTTCTCTTCCTGTTCCATGGAATTATTTGACAAACTTTTAGTTAAACAGCTGAGTTGATTTTTCATTTTCGGGAGGAAAGGACTCGAACTATAAGTCCGTAGCTTACTCTAGCACTCCTCCTGCCTTCTGTCTTCCTGGCAACACATGGCTACGGCCAGACTCTGAGTATGTAACTAGTTCACCAGACAGGTTAAGTAACCGAGAGACCTGCCCTCAGCTGCAGCTGTCCAGCCAAGTAGCTGACAGATATTTTCGGAGCACGTGCGTGCTCCTTGGTGGTTTGTTATTCCTACCCCAATAGTACACTATTTAACTCGCATTCCCCCTTAAGTTTATCATCTGATAGCTCATGCTTGGAAATCTTTACGCACCCAAGCCGTTCCATTAAAATCAACAGGATTACTCATCCGATGGAGGATCTGCAGTATCGGTACTTCTTTTATAAATCCCACTCTCCTAAAGAATACGATTAATGACTATTTTTAAATTGTTTTAAATTTTAAAGTGGATGTGACCTGGAATAGTAGACGTGAAAGAATTCCATTTCTGTCATTGAGGATATTTATTGACTTTTGAACAGATGCTTTTACTTGCAACTGGAAAACAAACTGATCAGTTTTACTTAAATCACAGTTTTCATGAATTTCTATTCAAGTTCTCCTTAAGTTTGTTAAGATTAACGGCACAATTAATTACTCGAGTCAGAATGTCAATAGTAACATTTCTAAAATTATGATATTTTGTTACATTTTGAAAAAAAACTTAAATATCAAGTAAAACTGTGTATACTTCGAGGTATAACAACAACATGGGGAAAGTCTGCTTTTTGTTTTACTAAACACTCGTTTTAGCAATTAAACCGTATGATTTCTTGAAATGTCCCTTTTTATTTTTGACACCAATTGATCCGAATAAACATCACAAAATCTTGGAATGGAAGAAGTCAAAGCAACTTTAAATTTAGAAACCACAGAAAAGAACAGAACTGAAAGAGACGTTTCTCAGTGGAAGAAGTGAGTAACCATGAAATTAGGACACACAACTATCAATGTAGCTTTAACCTTAAGCTTCTTTTCAGACTAATACTCTGTTGAGGAATGGTGCAGAGGTGTTGGCTGACTATCAGCACACACGGAATGAACACATTGCATCTGAGACTGAATTTACTCTCTATAAGCTACCTTATGGAATGAGAAATAGTTAAATACAAAGGCACTTTGTTCTGTGCTAACACATCCTACAATTCTCAGTAGCAAGTGATACTACCTACTTGTACAAGAAGTTGCATGGAGCCATCTGTGGGCGCAGGGTCCCTTGGGTTTGACCATGGTCTGATCTGTACAAAGGATTCAGGTAATTGGCACGATTTTTCCATAAGTGAGCCCACAATGAATACGTTCGCTCTTGGATTCTGAAAAATACGTATGAAATAAAAATATATTAAAGACTCTACTACAATTCAGGTGTAGCTAAAGCTTAGATGTGATATTCTAGTGCTCTGTACTGCTCATTTACAATCAGCTTTATACTTCCTTAACAGAATTAGACTTAAGTTATAAATATAGAAAAACACAGATCCATATTCCTTTGTTGGTCACTAAAGGCAGAGTCCAATCCATTCCCCATAAAGCCAGAGCAGCTGGAGAGAGGTGGAGAGATGGGTTCCTTTGCAAGATGGAGAGGATCACTTCCATAAAATTAACTTTCAGACCGATTTCTACACCAAAGGCATCCCCACATTTAAAAGCACTCCTACACCATTGAGCTGCAATTTCTCATGCAGTTAGGTCTTGGGATATGATGACCCGTGAAGGTTTTGATTTTAAATGGCCTGTGGCACTGAGGCTGCTCTGCATTTGAGCAGTGAAAGGGACCAAATGGCAGCAGCGAGTAGTAACTCCCACCTTCCTCTCATTACTACTGCTGACACGATCAGGACGCATGAGAAAAGCGGTGGGTGTCATGGTGTACGCGAGGAGCCAGGGCCCCAGGAAGCAGATAGGAACATCAGCACTGCCAGGAATGATATTGTGTCTGTTTGGGCCAGAAGGCAGGTAGATTATTTCGTAATTGCTTTGGGGCCAGACAGCAGAAGGATACTTTGCTGACAGTCCTAGGGAGGGCCACCAGACAAAAAGGCTGTTCATAAGAAAGTATCCGAGAGATCAGGACTAAAGTGTCCTGACATGAGATCCAAAGACAGGTTAAAACATGGAAGAGCAGTGAATCTTAAACTGAGAACTTAACTATTGAGTTAATATCATCTTCTATTAGAGCTACAGTGACAGCTTGCCTTGTATGTTGTTAATGCTGCAATAAAGGTAGGGCCACATGGCTGAAGGGCTAATGCTCTTCAGTTTTCAGTAATCCCTGTCATGCACACCGTGGATTACACTCCCAGCAGAGCCACATTGCAGAGGATCAACTTTTTTCGGTATTAATCTGTGTTACCAGAAGATGACAGCCAAGAAGTCTACACTGCACCCCGCACCTTATGAAAGCGCATACATGTAGACTGGCAAACGTCTGTGTCCTGGTTTCGGCTGGGATAGAGTTAATTTCCTTCATCGTAGCTGGTACAGTGCTGTGTTTTGGATTTAGGATGAGAATAATGTTGATAACGCACCGATGTTTTAGTTGTTGCTAAGTAGTGCTTACACTAGTCAAGGACTTTTCAGCTTCCCATGCTCTACCGACTGAGAAGGCTGGAGGTGCCCAAGAAGCTGGGAGGGGGCACAGCCAAACTGGCCAAAGGGACATTCCATACCATGGGATGTCATGCTCAGTACATAAACTGGGGAAAGCTGGCCGGGGGGGGCCGCTGCTCGGGGACTGGCTGGGCATCGGTCAGCGGGTGGTGAGCAACTGTACTGTGCATCACTTGCTTTGTATATTCTCCTTCTTATCATTATTACTACTACTACTACTATTATTATTTTATTTCAGTTATTAAACTGTTCTTATCTCAACCCACAAGTTTTCTCACTTTTGCTCTTTGGATTCTCTCCCCCATCGCACCGGGGGCGGGGAGTGAGTGAGTGGCTGGGCAGGGCTCAGGTGCCAGCTGAAGTTAAACCACGACAGTCTGGCTCCTCAATACACCACCACCCACAGACCCCACACGTAAATATGCTACTAAAGAAAAGTCTTTCATACTTCAGCTCTCGTCTCTCCTTCTGGCTGTTACACAGGAAATTCCCAAACTGGCAAGAATAGATATGATGCTGTATGTGGATGAGGAATCTCTCATTGAATTCAAAGGCACAAGGAAACTGTTCCATTAATTGCCAGACACACTCGATGAACTGGTCCATAACAGGGGATATCTCCTTCGGATCTCCATCTAAATTGCCATACCTGAAACAAGACAAGGTACATTCAGTTAGAACCTGAAATCCTCTAGGAAAACTGAATTAACACTAATGAAAACAAACCCCTCACTTTTAGTGTGCAAGTTACATCATAGGCATTCCTTTCTAAAATCTCAACTACTAGTATTTTTTTTTACTTACAGAAATGATGTAAGACTCATGGAGTAGAATGAAGGCAGAATTTATCAGATACAAACAAAAAAACCCCATCTTTTACGGGTGTCTTACTGCCTTACAGCTACTACTAACAGCTGGCTGCTGCATAGCCATGTTTTAATGCTATTAATGTAAAGTTATACCACAGTAACATAAGTCATCATAAGAATGACTGCAATGACTTAAGGACAAAAACGTATCCTAGACAGTCACTTAATGGCAGACCATTCCCAAAACCAGAAAAATGAGCAGGAGAGGAACAGAATAACCTTGGTAGAGAACAGTTTAAAGCTGCCCTCTTTTGGTGAAATTTTTAGAAAGTGGGAAAAGTTTACATGCTACTGTAACTGTCAAGTGAACATCAAACTTTCTGTCTATAGAAATGTCAATAGAAATTTCACTTGGAACTCCTGCCAATGAAGAAAAGGAGCCTGAAAACATAAAACAAATAGAAATAAAAAATATTTTATAAGTCTACATAACAGGAAGAAGCATTTCAATCAATTATTCTGCTTGTCTAGTGTGTGTGTGTGTATATATGTGTGTGCACATATATATATGCCAACAGAGTAGAATTCCATAAACATCTAAAATTGAAACTTCCAATTCTACTATTATGCATCAAAGAAAATACAGCAATATTGTACTGCAAACCAAAGCTATCAGTGGTGATTACATTTCATATCTTTCACCACTGAGAATAATAGACATCTGAGAGTATGATATTAAATGTAGTAATTCCTGCTTGAATTTCACAGGTGGTGTGGAGCTGCACAGATTTCCTGAAAGTTCTGTTGTGTTTTTTGAAACTAGAACAATTTTATATTCAAATCAAGCAATATAATGTAATTAAACTCCAATATAAAAATTGCATTTTTTATTTTTACAGAAACTAAAAGGAAATACAAGAAAGAAAGAAAATGAGGATATTGATCCATGTTTAAATATATAAAGGCTTCAAACATTTTCATTACATTATAGCATTTACATAATGGATGTACAAAATAACTTATCCAAATAGATGACTTTCCGCTTCGCTTTACCTGACGTTTCTGAACAAATCCTACTGTTTTCCTTAGAACAGAGTGTAATAGGAAGAGTGTACTTTATGTAATAGTTAATTTTAGGCACGTCTGCGAGTTAAGTCCTGGAAGACGTAGACTTTGCTGAACAGGGACTTACATGGGGAGTCTTGGCACTACTGAAAGATCTGCTGGAGTCCAAAGGGATTCTGCAAGCCACACACATACTACTTTTCTCTCACATGGATCTCTCAATGCTCGTAGCAACTGCAAGACCAGCACTCAGGGTTCCTAGTAGCAGTCTTGGAGTGCGTATATAAGAAAAGACTGATATGAAAATATTTCACTTAGATGTTTCCAGGCAGCTAAATTATATAGTAGGAGAAAAGGGTATGGCAGTTTCCTGAGGGCATTCTGTTGACAGGCTTTGTAAGGCAACAAGGAAGTAAAATTGGAATGGCAGCTGATACTGACTACATAAAATTATATATAGAAAAACCTTAGCACCACCTTACCTGTGGTTAAATTTGTGACCAAAGGAAACCCAGTCTTTTTCAACTAACACCTAAAATGAGAATATTGCATTCAGTGTTGTGGAGCAGAGCTGACACACGTTGAAGCAGCAGAAGAGTGGTGTAAACAAGCAGTATTGGAATCCCAGTTAATTCTTAGAATAAGCAGAAAAGTGACAAGCAAGAATGATGTAAGCAAGCAGTATTAGAATCCCAGATAATTTTTAGAATAAGCAGAAAAATAATGAGCGATGAGCACTGCTGCCAGCTCAAGAGAAAGTAGCACTCTTCACGGATGCAGATAGGATGCCGGTATTTCAGCACAACTTCAATTAGCTTGATTCATCAGTTTCTAAAATAGAACCTAAAAATGTCTCAAACATCTTTTTAATGTGTGACCAGTAACTTGATAAGCATTCCTAGATGCTTTACCAGTGCTGATTTGCTTGGGAAAGGAACAGATTTTCCCCACATAGCTGCTCATTGCAATCTAATGTCTAGGGAGCAGATACTTCTGACACTCAAAACTTCACTGAACCCTGAAAATGAGTACAAGTTCTTGCTTGCACGAAAAAGCTCCTTGGGCTGCGAGAAAGTTTCCTGGTCAAGGTTAGGAAAAAAAAGAAATGGGTGCCCAACTGATCCCCACCTTTGATAACATTTCATACAGAAACTGGGAGACTGTAACTTGGACAGATAAAAATCTTCCTTCCTACTCAAAAAAAAAAAAAAAAAAAAAAAAGGTATCTTTAAGGAAAGTTTATTTTCCACTAAAACCAAAGATATTAATCTTAAATGATGCCATAATACTTTATTTACTCTGTGAAAGAGAACCTGCTTACCATGAATCCCTTCATAGTTCTGTAATATGGATCCAATAGAAGGCTCGCTACGGAGCAAACCTGGGCTGTCCTATCCCAGCCATCAGAGCAGTGAACAAGCACACTCACACCTTCCTCAGCCACAGCCTAAGGATACAGAAAAAGTCAGACATTTCACAAGCAGGGAGAAAGGCAATGGTAAGAAAGGAACAGTGAGACAGCACAATATAGAGAGCATTAATTTGGGAACTGGGAAAGCTTGTTCATTTTTTATTCTGCCACAGAGTTCTTGAATTGAGTGTTACTCCTCTCATTTGAAAAGTCTTAATCTCATCCCATCCCACGCAATATGGTGGTTGCAGCATCACCTGTTTATGCTCCACTACAGGAGGATGTGGGATCCGTTTCAATTAAAATACATCAATCTGTCAGAGCGGACAACTACCTAAAGCAGATTCAGATGCAGTTAATGCTCTAACTCGCGTATCAGCAACAGAACAGCCATACTTGCAATATGGGTGTTAGTTTCTCATCTTGATGGTAATGTCAATAACGGCAATGTCTGCTTCCGATGCCAGCGCCAGCATGGATATTATTACAGCACACTGCATTGCACACTGATGACATACTTCGAAAGGTTTGTGGGGAAGCCTGTGGTAGTGGTCAACTTCCGTATCTAATAAGCAAGATTGTATCAGTATCTCTAATGTAAATAACTGGGGGGAGAGGATCCCATTTTATACATAAACACATACAGAAGAGATCATACTAAGTTCTCCAAAGTCTGGTGTTGCATTATTTCTGGAACTTGAGGGTTTTATTTTAAATTCTAAGGGTTTTGGCCTTTGTCATTTCTAAAGAGAATTGAATTTAGAAAGTAGAGAAATAAAATAGGTTAGGAAAGATACTGCTTAGAAAAACAAACATTTAAGTTAAGTTTGGGCTTAATAGGGAACAAGGAATAATAATAAATTATCTATGTTTATCTCAAGAGACAAGTAAATTCTACCAAAATAGAACCCCTGTGGGCAGGAGACCAACAACTGCGAACTGGGAACTGTACAAATAAGAACGGGTCAAAATGCATGTCTGAGGAGGCACGAGGCTGGCAAGCATACGGACAAAGGATAAGTTTTTTTGGACAGTATTTTAAGACTAGCCACTGGGGAAAAGTTGGCAAGAGCTAATGTAAATGACCCAATTTCTACAAGCTAATGAAAGCTAGTAGGGCTGGGAGAAAGAATAACATGTGCATTTATCCTGCAGCTGCTGTTCAGGTAAGAAACTACGGTTGCCTGCTGAGCAGGAAGAAGCAAAGCAAGAGAAACAAGCAGTTACTGAGGAGGGAAACCCATTAAGTTGTATCCATATTGTCGTATGTAGCAGGTCATGTGAATAAAACGGCCTATAAGAAACTGTAATAGTAATCTCAAAAATAAGAATTGAAACAGTAAAAGGCAGAGCACAAGGAAGGGGGTAATAAAATTAAAACTACTGTTGGTAGATGACAAATATCTGCATTACTTTGGGTGGGCTTAGGAGAAATAATTTCTTATTAAAGCCAACAACTGTTTTCTGAAACGGTTCTCAAGTATGTAAGAGTAGAAGCTGCTAGAGAGTTTGGCCATGGTAATACACAGGATTTGGCTTAGGAGGTGAATTTAGTTGGTCTCTAAATAACTCAAAGGGGATAACACAGTAGCTAATATTCCTATATTACAACTACCATGCGAAGAAGCAGTCCTCGAACAGAAACCTTCAAGAGAGAAAATGTCCAGAAACCAGTGGAGGAGGCAGGGGAAATAGGGAAAGAAACAGTGACAATCACTGCTGGGGAGTCAAGTAAGGACACTCAAATACCTGGCATAACAAGATACAGGCTAGTAGAGGCTTTAGTACACTTGAATTCTTCGGTGAAAAGAACACAACCTTTTTTTTAGCATATTAGCAAAATGTCTACACAACAGCACCTAAGAATCGTCTCTCCTCATATATGAAGCATTGCAAGATGGGTTTTTTTAGATAGAACATCACTGAAGATAACAGAAGTTACCCACAAGCAGAGAATTTGGTCCTCACTTTCTGTATCTGGTTAGTCCAAGTTTTGTTCTCATTTTACACACTTTACCTTTGCAATAAAAATGCCAGCATCCATAATGGCTTTGATATGCTTCAGCCAGCCAGAATTTTCTAGGCCCCACAGAAAGTCACTCATTGAAGGTGATTTCAGCTCACAAACTGCAAAATAAGCTACATCTTAAAAGTACAGTAATTATAGTCCCTTAAGCTTTCACTGACTGTTCAACCTAAGAGTTACCTCTTCAGATAATCCCCTGCATAAAACATTCATCTTTTGAAAAGAATGGCTACTTCACAGTCAGACTTTACCATTGAAAAAAAACATATATTTAAGAAACGGGTTGGGTCAAATTTCAACCGATGTGTTGATTTAAGTTAAAAAGAGAAGCTGTTACAAAACCTGTTGCAAACAGTTTACCAAATACATCCTTCTTGCAGCACAGATTTCCCAAAATTGTGTGGGGAGCAAAGTTTTCAAACCCCTGAGAGGGGATCGTGTACTTAATAATGAGAGCTTGGAAACAGAAGGCATACGATTTCTGCTGTGAGACAGGCAGACAGCCACCTGAATGGTGCCACAGCTGCCTATTCCCAGCCACGTTTGCTGATGAAGCTCTGTAAGAGCAGGCCCACCAAACCCAGCCTTCACCATCACCACAGGTGATGGTCTTTGAGTTAAAGCGATTCACTCAACAGTTCTCCATCCCTGAATGAACCCTTATTAAAACTTCACTTGTAGTCAGAAAGTATTCTGATGGTGAGGAAAAGCCATAATTCATCAAGGAAGATATTTTCCTGAAAACTTTCCAAGCTCTATGCCATGTTTAAAGAAAAAAAAAATCTCCCAGTTTTTACAACATTAGTTTCTATCCTGCTGCATCCAACTGTCTATTTTTTAATATTACAGAGTTTGTGACATCAGAAGAAAAAAAGGGCAATCAGAATCTGATTCAGATACCTCAATCCATCAGCAAACAAATACTCAACAATATTTGGTGCAATCTATTTTCAACAGTGAGATACTAAATTCACCCCATAAATAGACTACGCATTTCTTTTGATGCATGTAGAATTATACTGTCTTTTAAGGAAAAAGATATTAATCAGTGAAACTCATTTAAAGAATACAGTGGAAAATGTCATGGTTTTTACTGAGTTAACGTATGTTCTGTGAATTAATAATGTCTTAGTAGGTCTCTTGTCCTCCGGAAATCTTCCAAAAGACTCAGTTAATTATGGCCATTATGACCAGTGGCATAACTTTAGTTTCCTTCAACGTAATTGGAATTTAATTTTACAGGCCTAAGTCAGAGTTTATATCACATCTGAACATATCGGACTGTCTTAACTCCATTTAACTCAGAGGCAAAATAGCCTAATGTGTCCATACAAAGTCTTGCAATCTTTGTACGTAGGGCCTCGACCAGATGGTTATTTTAAAAGTCATTTTTGAAGGGTATTTATAAAAATGCATAGATAGCACTGAAAGCGAACAGCTTTTCACATGATTAATGCTCCTGTGCAGATGGAAGCATGACCAATTAGTAGCTGAATTCTGGCTGAAGCTGCTGTCTCTGTTTACAAAAGCCCAAGGTAAGGCTGAAATAGTACTTTGCTCATTCCCACTACCAAATTAGAGTCAATATTTACCAACCACTTCACTGAGCAAAGTTCAGACTGTCCTAAAGGCATACGCTGTATATTTCACATGATTTTGCCTACCGATCTGGACCTCAATACTGAGTTCAATTATGAATTCAATTATGAGGCTTATCCTAAGGAGAAAAGGCGTTTCCATCTCAGCAGAAAAGGTACCAAAAACCTTGGGAGAAATAAGACCTGCTGCACCCGCTGTGTGGGCACAGGAAAATCAAGAGCCGCTGGGCAGAGCTCATAGCAATCCAGCGGTGCTTCCTTCCCCAGGAGGGGAGGAAGAAACAGGACACGTGGTGGAAACTGCCTCTTCCACCAGCAAAAGTACCAGAGGGGGATGCTGGACCAGTTCCCCCATTTCTGGCAGGACGGCCGTAGGTAGAGGAAGGAGTAAATGCTGTGGGCCAAACCCTCAGGCTCTCTTTCTGGCTGATCTGTCGCTGAAGTCCAAGGATCAGAGGGCTGCTCTTACATCGGCAACTACTGCTCCTGGTATGAGGGGAGGAGAAGCCCATATTTGCTGTTTAAATACAGTCAGGGAGCATGTGGGGTCATCATCTCAATGCACAACAAACGGCGGTCAAGTCTTGGTTGGCCCCTGGATGTACAGCAAAGCTCACCCCCGCCATCACAAATGCCAAACAGCAGCCTCAGTCAGCCTTTGAATCTTTACTGAGAAAAGTCCTCGTGCAACATTTCCTTCTGATATTAAAAATTATTTCAAGGAGGTTGTGCGCAGGATCAAAATTATCACAAGGATCTTCACATATACCTCTCTTTAAATGAAAAAAAAAATCAATACTATACTAAAGCAATATGAGGCAGCAGAGACAAAAGTAAAACAATTTTTTTTTTTTTCTGGAAGGAAATTCCAGCATGTTGAAATGCATTTTACTTCCAGAGAACAGTCAAATCTCAATATTTTTTGCATATTCTGAAAAAATTCTCATTATCCTACAAATTTAATCATTTTATAATGCTGATATACTTTGCCAAAAATTAACATTATACAAGAGTAAATAACATGTTAAAGTTAAGATAAATAAAATTGCTAGAATTAAAGTCATTAAAATCACAAAGCTGAAACCAAATTTTTTTTACCTACTCAAATAAATTGTTGACATTATCGTAAGTATAAACTAATTTCTTCAGCTTTTTCCTAAAGAAACATCATTGAAATTAACACATTCCCAATATAAGTGCATTTTCCAATGGAAAAGTGAATAATCAATTTTTGTTCAAATTTCCTCAGCATTGGAAGTTATTTAAAATTGTATATTGAAAATAATCTGCAGTCTCTCATCTGAAAAAGATCCTCCAACCTTCACTTCTGCTTAATTCCAGTAAGTTGAATAAAATCGCCCTTGCACTCCTGCAACACATCAGACCCATTATGACTTGATGTTCTCTTTTCCATGCTGTACACTTCCAGGCAACAATACAGCACACATTAAACTAAAATCAGTTTTCATCAGCCTCATTCGTCTTTTCAAAGGTTTTTATGTACCTTATAACACCTCACAACGGATCACGAGCAGCAGACGTATTTTGTAATGTTTGTAGTGTAACGTGATGTTTTACCTTAGAGATTCACCTAGGTATGTTTAAGTACTCCTTGGTAAAAATTTAAAGCCATATTAAATGTACGTTACTATCGTCCTTGACAGCCTTTTTGATTCTGGTTCCCTTTGTATGCACAAGTCAGGTAATAAATACCATTTTGAAGGCCACCGGAGAAACAGATGGACACTGATACAAATGGAAAAAGAGAAAAACTATGCAGCACCTTACGTGAGAAAAGCTCTGCTCGTACACTGAAAGTCATAAGATTGTAAAAAAAAAAAAAAAAAAAAAAAAAAAAAAAAGTATTTGCGCACCACAATTTTTTAGTACTTGAAAGCCTCAAGTGCTTGAAATCGTGGTTTTAACTTCTCTAATTTCTAATCTTATCAGCCAGGTCACTAAATAGGAGATTTCAACATAGCAAATATAAAACCTATGTAAAAAGCAGATGTTTTGAGCATATGGCTCATTTAGAAATAGATGCTAAGAAGTTATGCCCCCAAGCAGCCTGAAGCGTTAAATGCATTAGAAATTACTTTGTTATGTGTCAGTTTGGGCCATGGGCCTGTCTCACGAACTTTTGGCTCAAAAATAATACACAGCACTGTCCCACGCAGCCAGGCTGGTTGTTTAGTATTTTAACTTCGATGGTCTTAAGCTGAATAAATAAAGGGACAGGTTTATTCACCTGGCCTCTCTCCTAGCCAAACAAGACTTTGTAGTGAACTAAAAATCCTTCTGTTTTCCTTCCTGAGACCCTTACCTTAGACCAAGGAATTAAGCAAAAATAAGGCATGAAGAGAGTGACTGTTTTACCTGCATCACACTTTACTGCTGGTTTTCATAAACTGCTCTTATTTAAAAACAGAGCACAGCTCTCCTGTCATGGAAAAAGTAAGCCCTTCTTAGATCTAAAATTCACATTTGCATACAGACGATGGGAGACAGATGAAGAATAAAAGAGCATGGGCAGAGCATCAGGTCAAGAATAGCTAGTTCAAGCTGATCCAGGAGGTGACAGAAGCTGTTGATGATATACGTGAAGTAAATACTGAGACTCTGTGGAGTGGAGCGAGCACTATTTACTATTTGCTTGTTACATATCAACGAGCCGTTAAGGGTCAAGGATGGCTTATTTATTCTTACCCTTTTCCCAGAAGGCCTCTGAACAGTAATGTACTCCAAATATTAAGTGGCAGTACAGATGTGCTCATTTATACACTGTTAAGTATTTATAAAGCAATTATTATTACTTTCCATGGGATTATGAAGGTGCTGAATGGTTACATCCATTGACTGTGAGTTTCATAAATAAACCTGACGTGGCATGCTCTGTACAGGGCGTGAGTAAGTTTCTATTAAAATTCACAGTCTAAAACGCATTACTACTTTATTGACCACATACAAAAATCAAACCATAGGTTTTCTGAGCTTAAAAAAAAAATTCCTGTATTTTCCACTAGTACCAAAGTCAGCTATAAGTGATTTTTTTCATTATACCATCAAACTGTAAACCGCAAAAGAAGACATAGTAGAAGTAAGGTGTATTGAAGTCAAATGAATTTTCTCACTAAAGTAAACAATATCTGGATTTCACCCACGAAACAAGGTGTTTGCACAATGAGGAAACCACCACTAGTTGCGATGATGCTCCATTGCATGAGTCCCATTAGCCAGCAGGCAGCTGCATGCAGCACACCGGGCAAAGGTTTCTTTTCATACCTATTTTCACTGCTGCTGACTTCAGAGCAGTTATCCTGATTTGTGTGGCTGAAGGATCAAATCTTTCCTCTAGTTTTCAATAAAGAAGAGTATTACCTTCAAGCATTTTCTGCAGACTATTTCTCATGACATGGATGTTCTCAATGCCTATGAATTGAAATTTGATGTTAGAGTAGTTGTCTTCATTTTCATATCCCTTCCCTGCTGCTCTGTTTGCCATTGCGTTGAGCTGAAAAAATTAGGGAAAATTGGATGAAAACCAGTAGCAAACAGTTTATTTTCAAAACAAAGCTCGTGGTCTACTGCAATAAATCAGAGTGATTTAAATCAGGCACAAATAGGAAGCATTTATCACAGTGTCAGCACAACGGGTTAGGAATCGGGGATCTGTTTACAGCCTATTGCAGGGCACTGGGTTGTTGAGGCTCTGACCTCTATTTCACACATTTTGAGTGAAACTTTATTAGTGAGGTTAGACACAAAAACACACAGCTTATGTAGGGCTCCTCTGCAAGAGCATAAAGGTTTTCATTTGTTTTTAAAAGCCTGTTCTGATTTTATTTTTGATCAGCATTATGTTTACTGGCAGAATATACCCAGGAGGTGGCAGTGTCTTATCTGCCGTGCCACTGTTTCATAGCATATGTACACTGCAACGTTGCCCAAATTACTGTGTTTTACTGCTCAAATCACCCAAAAGTTGATACAGCTTACTTCTTTGAAGCTTGGAATAATGAAGAGAGAGTTGGAGTGGTTTTTCTTAAGTTTATAGCATCTTGGCTCTAGTTGTCTAAGACCACAAAAGATCTGAATTGACAAAATTACCACAAATATTTTCATCCGCAATGTATCGCTATCAAATATTTTGCTGTGCTTCAGCAAAAAAATACATTCAGCTGGAAACTGGAGTTTTGTCTTTAAATCTGTTACTTGCTTCCTGGCATGGGAAAGTCACTAAATGCTTCTTTAGTTCAGTTTTCCCAAGAGTAAAACTAAGGGGTTTTTTCAATGCTTATTTTCCCCCCTTTTGAGATTCTTGGTAGGTAAGAAAACTATCTGCCAAGTCCATTATGCCAAATGTTGATCTCTGGGCTGAAAACTAGAGCTGATAGAAATGAATTAAGTACTTTTACTTTATTATCCTGTTGGGTTGTTTTTTTTTTATTTCCTGTAGCAAAATCTCACTGTCCAATAGAAAGAAATTGTCTTTTTTGCATGAAGTCCCTGGTCTTCTATGAAATGCACGCTGTAAGGCTGGGGAGCCTTTGAACTTCCCAAGAAATATGAAGGCTCCAGGAGTAACAAAGCAGCCCACGTGGCAGAACCTCCACGCCTACAAGCACAACCAAGAGCTTCTGCTCACGAAAGATTTAAGAACCAAATAAAAATGGATATTGCATGTCCAAACTGGAGGGCACTAACAAAGCTTTTGGATTTTTTTTTTTTTTTTTTTTTTTTTTATTTCCTGTAGCAAAATCTCACTGTCCAATAGAAAGAAATTGTCTTTTTTGCATGAAGTCCCTGGTCTTCTATGAAATGCACGCTGTAAGGCTGGGGAGCCTTTGAACTTCCCAAGAAATATGAAGGCTCCAGGAGTAACAAAGCAGCCCACGTGGCAGAACCTCCACGCCTACAAGCACAACCAAGAGCTTCTGCTCACGAAAGATTTAAGAACCAAATAAAAATGGATATTGCATGTCCAAACTGGAGGGCACTAACAAAGCTTTTGGAGAGACCTTACGAGGTATCAGTTGGACAAAAAAATGACTCGTCTTCATTGCAGTGAGAGGCAATGCTCATGAAAAATCAAAACAAAGGATCTCTTAAGCATTGCCTAGGGGACAAGAGGTTATGCAGATAACTCCATTTCCAGTTTATTGCCCAATATTGCAGGCAGTACTATTGATTTGCTGCTTCTGTGGTCACTTCTGAAGCTCGCAATAATACACTTCAGTATTCAGCTAATGGTATCACGGGATATACAAGAATGTGTCTCTTCAGATCTCTTCCACCCCAAACACATATACTCCTGACATTCAATTTTAATTTGGAGCCAAATGCATGCAATTGAATAGGACTGATTGTCTGCTGCCAACTTACCTCCAACTAAGATGAACAAGTCTAGCTTTTTTATGTTTCCATGGACCAAATTTGACCTCTTAACTTTCAAACTTTCAAAGGAAACAGCTAAAGACTAAAAGCTTTTTATGCCATTATAATTTCATTTTAGATACATAAGCAGACAGGTGAGACTGCTTTTCAATTCTTTTATTCTGTCCAATTTAATATGTGAAGATAGGGGATTTTTTTCCCCATCTTCACACTTTCTAGCACATCCATTCCCATGAGCAGAACTTGGCAATGGGAATACATAGTTACATTTGTGGACTACCATTAGGAATTGAAACATTGCGTGAATTTCATGATACAACAGAAGGAATCATACTCTAAGATAGGAACCTGGGCAAAAAAACAGCATTTTTCATTAACTCAAGTCTCGTGTAAAACTTCTTTTAACTTGTAGTATGCAATTCAGGAAAAACTGCAGGCAGAAAAAAATTCTTGTCTATCAACCAGCAGTCTGCTGACGTTCTGACTATCAATGAACAATAAAAAAAAGATACGGCCTGTGAACAGCATGTCCTTTAAGGACAGAGTCCTCAGTGTGACTTGCTAGAAAGATATAAGTTACCTGCTGAAGCCTAATCTTTCTCTTTTGAAGTAGACATCAGTGTTCTAATATAAACAAAATGAAGCAGTCTTTCTCTGCAACAGCATATAGGTTCAGGAAGAAAGATCTGTACGCATGAGCCTAAGCCACCACAAACCCCTGAAACCCTAAATGAAAAACGTCTAGCCCCTAACTGACCTAATCCTCAGTACAATAAATGCTATTAACAGTCTCTGCCACAGAGCAATTTTGTCACAGAAATCCTTCATTAAGACAGTCTGAAATACCCCTCTTTAAAAGCAAATAAATATAAGGTTAAATTTGCAAGGCTTTCTGGCACTCATTTATTTTAAATATTGTCGGTTGCCAAACTTTGCAGCTGCCACAATATTTACTAACAAGTTTTCCACATCACCTACCAAAATTCCATCTGTTGCTCTTAAAGTAGTTGTTGCAAAGCTCTCTAAATTGTGCCTGTCCTCACTTAATCTCAGTGAATATGAGGAGACAACCTCCAAAGGGAACAGACCTCACTTGCCAGATTTCCTGGCATCTTCTTTAATGTGGAGAATAAGCGAGTCCTGTCTTGTTATAAAGAGTTATAGAACTAATTTGGTTTACTCATAAGCAGTAAGTTTATATTAGCTTCTTCTGTAAACACATAGAGGAAGGAGAAAATGAAGAAAGACAATAGCCTAAGTAAAGCTCTGCATATGGTCATCCTGGTATATTTAAATGAAATGGAAACAAAGCTTTCTTCCGCAGCCAAAGCTTTTGTTTTGAAAATTATCAAGCACAATGAGGGACAGCATATGAAGAGCACTTGGGAATGCTGGCCCATCAATATTCATCATCTTTGCAAGGAACCAGTTCTGATGAGAGAAGAGGCAGGTAGTTTTTTAGCTTCCTAGAGCAATGGGAAACCTTGCACCAGAGTCGACAACTTACCTTTACATTTGTTAAAGGTTCTCTGAGGAATGCCAGGGACAGCTTGCACTGATATCTATCACTTCCTACATGCTCTAGATTTATACATGCATTAGGAGCTGCAAAATTAACTGTAACAGCTGTAACAAGGCTGTATTTGGCACCTGGGATCACAGGAGCTTTAGAAAATCAGTCCATTCTTGCAGCACAGAGAGAGATAAATAGGAATCTGTGCATACAAATTTCTTTACATCAAAACTTTTTTTTCCCCAGAGAAGTTCAATGAAAACAAACAGTTTTCATCTGCTGACTAGCTCTTGAAGAAGCCAGTGTTGCTGGAAATACGCCCTCGTTCATGACTGAGTGAGCCAATTTCACACTCTCCACTTAACGTACAGGCTTTTTTCCCTGCATACAGGAGGTGTCTCACCAAAGTCATTTACCAGAAAAGCGTACAGGATGGGACCTTCCTGTTATTATCTTGCAAAACATCATTAATAGCCAAGTCAGTAAGTGTTTAGTAATAAATCCCATCAATGAGCAACTTCCTTAATTAGGGAAGAGTACCAATATCATCAGCCAGGAAATGCTAAGCTATAAATATCATCACATACAGAAAACTGTTAAAAAAGCATTACTTAGGCAGCCAGGTCTGTACTTCCTATCCAAAGCCTGCTCTGAACACAGTCGTACCAATCCTTTCCTAGTGCTCATCACAATTCTTTTTCTTCAGGACCACGAGTAAGGTGGTACCATCCTCACCTTCCCAATAAAAAAGAGGGAACTGAAGGTCAAAGTAGTCACCAAATTACAAAGTGCAATGGCACATCCCAAGGCCCTGATTTTCTGGATACTGCCTCCCATTACAGCCGTGAGCGCTCAGCACTTTCCCATCAGCCCCCAGGTCTTCAGTCAATCGCCAACCAGACAAGTTCCTTGTTTCTGCTCCAGCTCTGCCAGGTTTGCCCTTCCTTGCTCCATTCCTCATGTTTCTCAGCTTTAGCCACCTTGCCCTTTCAGGCTCTGTCTCCTGATCTCAGGATGCTGAAACAGCTTCCTTGTTCCTTTTCCTCAAGCCTTTGCTCTCATTTTTCCTTTTCCCCCAGTATAGGTCATCCTATAGCTACTTGGGATTTTGTGGAGACTTGCCCCTTTGGTTTCTTTTCCTTCACATGCTTTGGTAACTTCAGCAGGGAAGCTACTGATACTGTAAGAAAGAATATAACCCTGCTCCCACCTCCAGGCACTGAAGCCTACCTAGTCCTCATCACCTTGAGCTGTTTGCTAGCATGCCAAATTTGGACACAAGTTTTGTCAGCTTTCATCCCCTTCTAGATCGTTACTGAGTTTCTGCACAGTGCAATTTTTCTAAAGCCTTTATCTTGGCCAAAGATTTTAGTCAATTGTAGACATACGGTGTCTGAGATCACTATTTACCGTATTTCAGATTCTCTGTCAAAAATGCAGAAGTGCTGGAGATATTCAAAGAAGGCCTCCTCAGTTCTTGTAACCTGAGTAAATGGTCTTTCCTTAGCCTCATGCACAGGTTGTTGAAATTTTCCCACTCTCAAGAGAAATCTTGCATGGAAAATTTTAGTATAAGCAGGCAGAATTTTGCAATATTACAAGCAACTGTAAATACAATTTTATAATGGGAATTATTTTTCACTAGCCTCATCAGTAATATAGTTACTGATAGCTCCTCTGTGTGTGGAAACAGCTACTATTCCAAGTTATTTATTTTTCTGTATCTTAACATTTTGTTAAGAACAAAAAAGAGAAAAGCTCAGTGTAAAGAAAAAAATTCTCCAAGGGATAAAAATGTGGGCAAGGTTCCTAGTTAAGGTTCCCGATAAATCCTGATTTACCTGTGGAGTTACACGGGTGCAACTAAGATCAGAAGTATGGTCAATCATTTGGGCTGTGCATCTTCCCTAATGTATTCAGCCCAGATTCAGTCTTGCTATGTGCAAGAAATTTAATGTACTTACTTTGGGCCGAGTGTCAACAACGTATATGAAATCACTTCCTGGATTTGCTTTTCTAATGGCCTGGAGCATCTGTTCGTCCTCAAGGCATCGAGCACTAAAGCCAGATAAAGGCTGGCTGCTTCTACATATGGAAGCCTGAAGAAAAACAAACAAACAAAAAAATCAACATAGTTATTAAGCAGAAATTATTTAGTATCCAGAAGCATTTACAGAACCAGCTCATGGGATGTTTGCATAGGTGCCCCGAACCAGCTCATGGGATGTTTGCATAGGTGTACAGTTACGTGGGAAGGGCAGAATGGTAAAATGAATTACATGTTAATAAACAAATTCATTTTAAAAAGGCAAGGAAATATTAAAACAATACAACCCTATTGGCCCAGATCTAGTCTTGAATCCAAGTTTTAGAGCTATTTTAAATATAGCATTTCCCTAAAGTGGACTAACTCCTGAAAGGTGGTCTCTAGAGGATGTGATGAGTACAACATTGCAATGACAAGAACGCTGATACAACATAAAGAATGGGTCCTTTTGCGCTGTCACTCACACTTACCAGTTATGATACTGATGACACCCAACTTGCGCCAATACCTGCGTTACTAAACATCCTGAGACACCATGAGTCCAGGAAACAAAAATGCATAATATGCAGCTAGATCACTGATGGTGGTGTATTTTTAGCACTGCCTCTGGAGAAAGACCTTACTGCATGGGAAGTGGGTCAGGCAGCCTGACTCCTGGAGTATATTTATTAATCAGTGCTATTGAAGAAGGCAAGAGAGTTTCTCCACAGACCCATCAGGAGCAGACCTCCAGATGAAACTGGGAAAGAAGGAACAGAATGTGAAATGGGTGAGCAGGGAGGTTTTTATTTCTGCTAGGCAGAGGGCAGCTAGATTTGCAGAGGGCAAGGGGCTAATACATGCACTTTCTAAGTACTGAACATAAGCATGAAGAGAATCTGCCTGCTGAAGGCCGTGACCCATGCAGACTGCCCTACAGATTATTTATTACTGTGAGAAGGGACATGCTCATTTTCAACCAAGTCTTTGAACTATCAGTAGTTAATCAGTAAAATGTGGATCTTTAATACAGAAATCCTGAATTGAGTGAGAGCCTGATCATACTTTATTAATAGTTTTTGCAAACAGATTATTAGTTAACTAGAGTCTTGCCTGTTGATCAGCATGCATTCCCGTGATTTAATATACCTCCTTTGCATGAAGCAAAAGGTACATATGAATATGTCCACAACCTGTCATTTTAATAGAAGGAAGACATTTCTCTCTCATTCATAGCATACCATACACAAGGCAGATATGGCCCTCAAGATTAAGGTTAAAGTTAGGGTTGTGGATGAAGGTTAGGATTCAGGAAAGTATGGGCTGGAGCCCACTACATTATATCATCCTGGGGGCCCAAAGGTCTAAGGTAGGTGCTGGCACCAGTATGAGAGAATGGCTTGTCTGTTGTTAGGCTTGGAGTTAAGATCATGTTTAGACCCAGCTTAAGAAATAGCTGCACTGCCAGTACTGCAAAACTAGGAAGATAAGCTGACGTAGTGACCATTATCATATCATAAGTGGGATTCATTACCCACGATATCCACGAAGAGATCACCTCCTTCCGACCCAGGCCAACTGCTTAGGATGAGCACATATGTCTATAAAATTTCTTGGGCTATGTTTAAGAGTAGGGCAAGAGATGAGGTCATGTTTTGCTATTGCACAAGCTCAACAGATAGTTCCAGAGTTTGATTTTATCATATTCACACAGATCCTGTAAGACGCAGAGTAAGGTGTCCAATCATCACTGAATTTGTCAGTACCAAAGAGCTATGGGAAAGTTCTGGGTATGAAAGACTGAATGAGTGGCACCCATCTCCCCTGCCTGCAGCAGACCTCTTCCCAACCTGCTGTAACCGTAGCTGTTCAATGTCTACCATCACTAATCTTACCCCACTCCTGCCCATTACTCTGTTAGCTGGCAACTCATGCCAGCCTCCAAACTCACAAGGAGGTATTTCCTCCAACATTCCCAACCCTTTTCCTAGCCCTTTGAACCATGAAGGATCCGGGACTAAACACAGTACTTCCGATCCTGGTGGTCTGAACCTTAACCTGAACTCCAACCACAACAGGGAAAACATTCAGGCTGAAACCATGAAACTCATGCAAACTGGATCACTATATATTGGAATCTAGCTGATCCCTGAGACCTTTTCTTTCACTGAGATTTGGAAATGTCCAAGTGTTTTGAATCCTAGATATCTATATTTGGACTTAGTTTATTATGCAGAGTGATTAATTTTGAAAATTTTGGCCCTAATGAAATATTAAAGATAATATGCAATTTGTGCAGAGACTGTATTTACTATTTAAATCTTCCTATCCTCCTGTTTTGTTGTCAAATTCATAGATCTTTATGGAAGCAGAATTCTGATGAAATAAGCGATAAAGAAGGAGTCAAAATAATGTCTCATTCCTTCCTTCTGAAGCTTAAACCTATGACAGGGACCACTGTAAAGATAAGATTTCTATGGAGACTGTAGCTTATGATTCCTGCTTGTGACATCCTACGGAAATATCTCCCACCCTGCGTGGCAAACTCTACAGACACCCTGTAATCCCACATTAGCTCTGTCTCTTGGGAAGTCCTGGCCGTCTCCCAGCACTAGGGAAGACCTCTCGATGCAGTTGCCAGCCTGGGACTGAAACAGAAGGAGCTGTTAGATACACAGATCCTTTGTGAGTACAAAGGGGACACCATCCTCCTAACCGGTAATGACAGCTGAGCTAAGCCGGTCCCTAGGGGGCTGGGACGCAAATGTAAAAACGCTCAGTCCACGGGATCCTTCAGTCCAAGGGTCTCCTTTACCTCAGCTGCCAGAAACAGAAATGCAAATAGTCTAGGTTCAGGTTTTTTTCCAAATGGTTACAGACAAGTGAGGCAGTTCCTCACTCAGCCCTGAGAACCTCTGTCAAGGAGAGGAGAAGGTGGCACTCCTTGCTCTTACAGACAAGGAGAGTCTCTTCAACAAAGCCACGACACGTTGCTCAGCCAAAATTTGGTAGCTCAGCCAAAATTTGGTAGCTCTTTCATCCATCCCTTTTGGGTCTATTCACAGATCTTTTCTTCAGAGGCTACTCCTGATTCTGTAATTGTTGCAAGTATAGTTTTTCCTCCTCCTTGACTTGCTCTCAGACTGTGGCTACCAGCTCCTAAATTGCTCTGTTCTGCTCCCAATCACCTGCTAAGCTGCCTGCTACTGGCCTTCACTCTTCTGCCACCCATGTTTCAGGACCTCTTGTACTACTCCACTTCCTTGTGATACAGGGGTCGCATTTTTTTGTTAGCTGGATGATGAAGCTGGGTTTAAATGACTGCAGTAAATGCCTGTTAATAAACTAACCATAATTCCAGTGTGTGCCCATATGTACAAACCACACTAATCATCTTTTTTTTTTTTTTAGAATAAACACTGATTTCTTCTTGTGAAATCTTACTAGAAGAATTATGAAAGCAAGGCCAAAATAACAAAACACTTCAAAGCTACAAACTCACACTTACATTGTTATCCTTGCAGTAGTAGGAAAGAGCTGGGAAACGCCTTCGGCTCCGAAATTTAGAGCTCCCCACTATGATGTGTGCAGTCGCAGACTTAGGTACATACACTTCCGTAGGATAGGAGTCACAGACCTGTGAAAGAAAACTCTGCTTATTTGCTTTACAAAATACAACTAACATTAGCCATCTCCACAGCAAAAACAAAATACCAAGGAACTCTAATCTCAGGGAATATTCCATAATTATTGTATACACATCACTGACACTTCTCAGAACAGTCTTTTGAAGCTGGAAAGTATTAATTCTAACTTACAGATGGCGAAACTGAAGCAGAAGGGTTGAAGGGCTGTATTTCCAAATGTTAATTCATGCCTTGTTGAGAACAGACAGGTATAACATACATTCATACCAGAAAAGATTCATCATTATGTACAGCAAGGTTGTATTTACAACTGCGGATTCCTCTGTAGCAGAATGTGGAAGTAAGGATAGGAATGGGTGAAGTTCTCAAACACCCCTCTGTTATAATGGGAGGGGACTGTAGAGGCCAAATTTTCCAGCAAATCTGATAATAAAAAAAGAAAATGACAAAATAGGGACTTGGAGAAAATAAATTAATCCGTATGAAATGAGGATACCAAAAGGCAAGCAGCCCTGACAATGCCTACCACTTCTGAAAGGAACCCAATGAGCCTGCAAAAAAGCCCAGAAGTTCCTCTGGAGACAAGCAGGACAACAAATGGGGTCCTGGTCTAACTTCCTTTTCCTGATACTGCCTGTGGCATTCCGGCTGGGGTCAAAAGGATATCCAGTATCTCCCTGGGACTTTCTGAGATGACTAAAGCAATTAGGATGCCCAGGAAGAAATTAGGTTCTGAGAGAGTCAGAGATATGTAGTGAAGGAGAAAGAAAAGGAAGGGCTTGTGGTTACACATGCTGCTGTGGTAAACTGGGTTTTATTCATGACGCCATTTTTCCTACACTTTATCTTAAAAGAGGTCAAGCATTTTTTCCGCTTGATTTAACAAAAAGGAAACAAACCCTGACAGCACATTCAGTCTTCCCTGAGAACTTCACACGCCTTCCTTAACATGGATATGCTCCTCCAGCAACAGAGCCAATGGAGTGCATGGACAAACTTCCTTCAAAAACACTTTGGTTATTATTTCTTACAATTAATTAAAATTCTAGGGACTTCAATCGTACAGGACTGAACTAGGCAGGACAGTAGGCAGCTAGGAAGAGATAGGACCCATCAGATGACTGTGAAAAACACTAACAGTCAATCAAAGAGGCTTCAAAAGGATTGTGAGGATGGCCAGTGAGGAAAAAATATTGCCAAATTCACTATTTCCAGTTTTTTTTTTCTTAAAATGACTGTGTAGTAATTTTATATAACCCTACATGTCCTGAAAATGCTCATTCAGACACATAACATTAGGTATGATTTAAACTTCTCCCCAGGCAGCCAAGTACTAATGTTTAAGACTTACTGTGTACAAGTTTTCTGTGCTTAATTTCCACATATATTAAACAAAGACACATCTTTTCTATGTGCCTTTTTATGTGAAAGAATGGAAGAACTGCACCTTACTACATTTGTGTACAGCACTGAGCACAAAGGGATCCTGCATCTAAGCACTTCGGTAGTCCACAGTCAGACAGCTGATTCCCTTCACACCCTCTGTAACAGAAAAATCACTACGACTCACTCCGTAGTCTCTGTTTACATCACTAATCTGCCAATAGTTGTTTGGAATACCCATCCGATTGTATTCTTCATTGAGGTCCACAAGCTTCCAGCCTTGTTCTCGTTCTTCTTTATCTAATTTTGGATTGAATGAGAAACAATACAGCTCTTCGTATTTCACTGGGGGGAAAAAAAAGCAAACAAACAAAACCAGTAAAACACTTCAGATTTCTCAACCTAAGATCACACCTCAAAGCCAAAATTGGGTATTGTCCTTTATGTAGTTTCTCTTTTAAAATAGTATGCTTTGCTACAAAAGTACATATCCTGGCTTATAACTATTTTCAAGTATACTTTGAAAGTACTGTGCTGCTTTGTTACTTGTATATGTTGCAATATATGTGCCTTATTAGTAATGATACTTAAAATACACTGTTCTGCTAGACCTCTTCTCTACTGAATTGTAGAAGCCTCCCCCAGCACAAAGAGAAAATTTCAGTGATAATATGCTTTCATCCAAAGAAAACTAAAGTCAGTGCCAGAATAAGCATTTGTTCTGCAAAAGAATTTGCTGGCCAGAGGTAGCTTAGAAGTCCCTTTATTAATGTAACATCTGTCCTGTGGCAAAGACAGAAGCTGTGAACAATGGACTACGCAGCACAATCTTCCAAAAATGAACTAACTCAGAAGCCTTTGTCCCTAAATAGGGAAGTTTCCGATAGGTTTAATGACATTTTAGTTTTGTGGACTGCAAAATTCTGTTCTTGAATTATTAGCAAAGGTATTAATGAACCAGATGTTGTAATAGCATAAAAATAGCATATGTTACATCAATCATTTCATCACGACCATGAACTTGTTTAAGTAGCTGTGCCACCTGTCACCCTCGGTCAAGGACCATATAATAAACTTTACTGGTGCTGGAGTTTTTAACTTTTTTAGGAGTGTATCTGTATTTATGCTAATGAGTATCTTAATCCTGGTGACCAATGGCAGCCAGACACCATTGCCATTAAATGCCAACTGTCACCGATATGAATAACTATTCAGTATATAGCAGTATCTCATTGATACTTAAGATATTGTTATGTCATGAGGGCACGTTTCATCCTCTTGCTCTAAGTTCCTTAAAACTTCTGACCAACAGAAAGCTTTAACTTTAGAACTGAAGTAAAGTAAATCATAACTTGAGTCCTCTCTGATTTCATAGTTCCCCACTGATACAGGTGTTTCACAACATAATTTTAACAAGATCAGTATATTAAAATACTACACTTTTTTTCCTAAAAATCTATACCTAATAAGCAGAGTCTTAAAACACTACAGTAAGGAACTTTCAGATATAAAAATAACAACAACAAAAATAACTACAATATTAATAATAATAAGGCTTCCACCTTTTTTAATAGAAAGTCTTTACTTCTATTTTGATTATGTCTTTTAAAGGTGTAATTTAAGTTATATTTAGCTTTTATAAATTTCAATTAAATTGATTGTATATACACACACAAAAGTATGAACATAAGGAAAGAAAACTCATGTTAACTCTGTCAGGAAAGTACTGAAAGTCAACAAAGTCATGAGTAAGGAGAAAGAAAAGAATGATTTGCACATTGTCTGACAGTTCAAACTCTTTCTGTACTCTGATTTCCAACTTCTGTCATGGCTCAGATTAGGAAGACAGTCTGATTTATTTCTCAGCTGCTAACATAAAGTTTTAGCATAATCCATAAATCCATCTGAGCTCATTTTAATAAAGTGCTTGTGGTAGCAATCTGAGCTCTTGTTTTTACTGCTTTGTTGTCAGAAGCATCTGGATTTTCTTTCCAACTGGACCTGCTGTTCACAGGCACATGGGAAGCCTTTAAAAGTCCATCTATTAAAATATACCCAGGTTATTTATGACAGAAGTCTGACTCAATGTTACAAGTATTATTACATGATGGTATCTATAGGTAGTAACAAAAATGTTAAAGCATTAATAGTCAGTGCCTTAAAGCTCAGTTATCAGCTCTTCTCCAGCACTTCTACGACCTTCTCTAATCTTTCACAGTTATTTTGCCATAAGCATCTGCAATCCTGCTATTACACCTGTAATAACTGTTATGGTCAGCTTGTTTCACAACATGGGTTAATTAAGCAAAAAGACCAAATTCAGCTGACAGCTTGACCTTATTAAAATGCTATTAACAGCTGGCAAGAATAAAATCAAACACAAATTTGCTCCTCTAGTGTAACTAGGACATCAGGTAACATAGAATATATTAAGCCAGTACACAAGATGGGCTTCACTCAGGTTCAGCTATGGTGGAATGAATGGCAGGGAACAAAAAATAGAGCCTGAATGAGTCAAATTTTTTCCTCATGGAGTAAAGGGTACCTTATAATGTTGAGTATTACCTTAAGAAAGTACAGCTTTGTGCCTGGACAAAAAGACACAGCAGAGCACTGACAGGGTACATTTGGCTCAACTTGCAATTGGAGCCTTCTAATTTTAAGTAAGCAAGATTTTATCTTGCCTCACATGAAGATCGGGTATTTTGCTGGACAAGGAAAACTACTGTGCGGCTGAACTGTGCAAAGAGCTAATTCTATGGTGCTCTTATTGCATCTTCTTCATTTGAACCTCCTTGTCCATTGCAGTCTGCCACTGAACTTGTATTCAGGGTCCATAGCTATTCTTCCCTTCGTCACTCTGTATGCCCGTATCAAAGTGTCCTGCTCTAGTGCATAGCAGTACGCACACCTCCTCCTGGCTCCAAGGAAAGGGCATTACAGAATTGCACTCCTTCCAGCATGCATGAACACATACTTGCAGACGTGGCCTGCGGAATTAATCCAGATTTACATCAGCAGAACCACTGACTGAATTTGTCTCATTGTTTTTAAATTTCTCTGATTACTTTCATCTTGCATCACCTAGCATATCAAGTTACATCTGCTGCAGTTGCATATTACTACTACTACTACTGTCCTAATTATAGAAGGTACTTTATGAAGTTCAGTAGCTGTGCTGGCTGACTGTGCAATTTTTTCCCCCTCTACACACTAGATCATAGAATAGGATCATAGAATCATTTAGGTTGGAAAAGATCCTTAAGATCATTGAGTCCAACCGTAAACCTAACACTGCCAAGTCCACAATAAGGTAAAATTGGTGTTCTCCTAGCAAGATAAAAATTAAAGCCAATGTTGTCAGTTTTGTACAGACTGTGGTAAACGTTTTCTTTGTGTACTGTCAAAATAATAGTAAAGGACAGAGGTTGGTGTTGTATTTCCACAGTTATCATTTAAAACAAACAATCTAGAAGCCTTGTCAACTGGTTCTTAGGAGAGCAGCTGTAACGCAGAGGATCAGATGTTGGACTTTGCTGCAACATTTGGATTTTCATTGAAAAGAGGAAAGGTTTCCAAAGAAATTTGATCTGAATTCAGAAATTCAAAACCTAGGTAATAACAGGCACAGGCAGTCCAATGGGATAAATCAACTACTTGCTGCAAAAGCTTTCACTGATTTTAAGAAATTTATGCACAGCACAGAAAGGGAAAATTCAGACCTTGACATGACCACTAGTTACATCATAAGTTTTTTGTCACAGCAGGAACATGAAAATTCCCTGGATTTAGAGACTTGACAGTATTTTCCTAAATTCACAGGTAACAAGGCATCCCGTAAACAACAGTTACACATAAAATAGCATTATAACGTATTTTATGGCCAGTGATAGCCTAGAGTATTATTGTCAACAAAAGTTCATGACATACTTTATGGAATGAACTACTTGTTTTAATGTGCTTTCTTCGTTGCTCCGTAAGTGATTATTTCAATATGTTCGTCTGCCCAGAGACCTTTTCTCTCATAATACATCTCTAATGAAGCCTTTTTTCTTAAACTGTAAAGCGCAAAGATGCACAGCTACATGTCTTCCATTGTATTCTCCCTCTTCAGGATGAGGATCAACTTTTGTGCCAGTTTCCTTCTCATACCTGGTCGTGCCAGACGTATCAGAGATATGTAAACGTCATGGCAGTCTCGTTCCTGAGGGATGACCAGCTGGATGACCTGGAAGTTCTTGCAGCGGATCAGCAATGGGCAACCAGTGGCGGTGGTGGCCTGCTTCTCAATAGAGGAAATTTGGCTGTGAAGAACCTGCGAGGGAATTGAAAACGGTTACGCCAAGTGATTCAAATCCTTAGGAAGAAAAATAATTATTTATAATGATGTGCCAGGGCAGGCACAGTAGCTTCCACTATTGTTTCAGAAAATCCTCACACTCCTCTTCTTGTAGTTTTGTTCCTATCTCCAGCTTCAGGGTCAAGCAGCACCTGATACATCACCTAGAGACAAAGAAGCACTTCTGGAGTGTTTCAGCTGCTCAAACATTAGCCTGGTCAAGCTATCCAAAGCTTTTTCTTTGTTTGTTTTAGTGTAAGCTAACAGTTGTCAGAAAAGGAGCTCTTTTCATCTCTCTGTACGGTGAGAAGATAAACCAGCATCAGTTAGATAAGACTAAAATGTTGGGCCTCCTCATGGGCAGAATGGTAGTCCTGATATAATTTTAAATACTGCATCAGATGAGATGAAACATTACATTAAGAATCAGGAGGGGAATAGTGGGACCAAAAGAGGATGGAGTTAATAATTAGTACAAAACTGGACAAAGGATTCATAATTAAGCTACATAAAAGACTCTCAAATGGTATGTTACCGGAGCTATATCTGTACCTATATATATACACATGCAACATATGTTATTGGTCCATCAAAATAGATAACTCAAAATGCTACATTATGCAAAAAAAACCCCAAAAACAAAAAAAACCAACAAAATCACTGATCCAGCACAAGCAGTTAGGGAGAGAGGCAAGAGCTGACTGAGTCAAGGTAGTAATTCACATTCAAAGCATTTCTCCTCAGTTCTTCCTGGACCATAGGAGCAACACTGTAGTTTACAGCAGCTGTTCCTTGGTCAATCACATCTGGTATTTGTATGCTGAAGATCCTTCTACTCCTCTTACTGTGTTGTGATATCCAGAATCCATTGAAAATTTTCAAAAATTACCAGCCTGGAATTTCACATGCTCTGAAGTTATAAAAGCATCCATCTGAACTAATTTACTATGTTTAAATTGTTTTGCAAGCTATTTGCAAGTTATTTTCAAATTACCATCAATAAAGTGCCACGCACTTACAGCTAACTGAAAAAACCCCAAAATTCATACCCAGGTTTCTTTACGAGTTTCAGAAACATTCTCCACAAATATGACATGGGTAGCTGTTAAATACAAGGTCCCCAGTGCAGCTTTTCTTGAAGATAAACGATCAAGTAACCGAACGTTTTCCACCTACACAAAGAAATGACAGAGAAAAAAAAAGAAATAATTAGGCTATGACATAGCCTGCCATGGTGAGATCTCAACATCCACAGTTTGTCCATTACAAACAAAGTAAGTTCTTTTCAGTACCATATGAAATGACTATCAAAACAGTATAACTGTATGAGAAAGTATGATTATATTATGCGACCTATTTCCAGATGGACCTTAATGTTCATTTTCCCCCCTCTTGTGGTACCTCTGTATCCAAAAATCTGTTAGCAAAGACTTCCAAAGACAATTTCTCACTTGGGCTCTTTCCTGTTATCTCACCTTACCAAAACCCTGTGATAGCAAGGCAAAGCCTGGCCTTCAGCTAAACTCTAGCTCCATGTTGTCCATTCAAGCCATTCCAGAATTATCAGTGATACATAGGAAGCTAAATCAAAAAAATAATAACAAGCAGGAGGTGATAGTGGCAGTGTGTCTTTCTTCAGTGGGCCTCACTTGGGTTCCCAGGCACGTCTCTGTTGACAGTTCAAAAAAATGTTTCAGCGTTTGTCCCTATGCCTCTACTAAGGCTGACAGCAGTGGTCACACCAGAAATTTTTGCCTTCAGTCGCTTTTCAATGGGAATCAAGGACTTAACACCCACTGCCCTGGCTCATTGGACACAAAATGGGTGCTCTCTCTCTGCTAGACTCCTGACAATAGGCGAGTCCCTAACACGTTATTAACTCTCAGATAACAAGCTTGTGGCTTGTACACCATTAATGTTTCGTATATGGCATGTGTCATAGGCATTTATCTGACGTTATATGGCATTTCTGACTGAGAAACTAGAACAATAAAAAAAAATCAACAAGGTGGATATTCAATGGGATAAAACTCCCTAGAACAGTTAACAATTTGCTACCATAGGTTTGGTGGGTTTCCTACTACAACAATTTTAGAACTAAAATTAGTTGTTTTTCCTAAAAAACATACCTAGTTCAGACAAGTTAAACCAAGGAATGCTGATGGTCAAGATCATATAGCTTGTAGTAAATTATCAAAATGGTCTCTTCGGGTTTTATAATGTTGGAATTGTACCAGAACACATGCTTTTCATGCAAGCAGCAGCACAGATCTATGCAGCCTGCCCACTGCTGCAAAAAATCTTCAACACACTGGCTAATCTTCTCTACATTCTCTCTTCAACTCTTCACTCAAGACTTACAATTTTCTTTTATACACCTAGTTATTTTCAGGACTTGAGGCTGATAACTGTTGAAGAAATACGCCCCCATTAAAATCAAAAGGGACTAGTCTTGTGTTTGAAGTTCAGAAGCTGACTTAAATGTTGCTCCAAGAAAATGGAAAAGGGGAACAAAAAAAAACAAAAAACAAAAAAAAAAACACCGAACACAGTTAAAGAAGACCTTATCACTTTTGCATTGAAATAAATATAATTTTGCACCAGTTTCCTGAAAACTAGAACTGGGTGCAACAAATATAAAGAAAAAAAGAATAAGAGGATCAGCAAAGTCAATTTGATTTTTAGTAATGCAGAGATTCTAGATTAGATTGACAGAAACTTCCTAAAATGCTCTCAGAGATGGGATGTAGCCATGTATTCTCAAAATTTTGCAGAAATAATTCCACTGAAATCACACCAGAAACAGAATGATGCCAGCACCTAAGAATTACACGTTTACAATGTGTATTCCAAATACATTGCACTATTTTAAAAATAGGTTTTAAGAAACCCTTAAAACCAAAATAAGCCAGTTTGGTAGCAAAATGCTTACAATCAAACAATTAATAAAACCAAGTCTTCTCCCTCAAGGCCAGATATAATCTGCTTTAAACAAAAATAAAACAGCTAGAAAGCATGGATAAAGTCTTCTCCCAGGACCATCTACTTTTCCAACCTCAATGATTCTATGGTTCTATGGTTCTATGGAAGAAACACAGCATTCACCCAGTTAAGCAACCAGTAGTAAGCAAAAGAGGAGATATAAAACAGCAGGGATGATACAAAATGAAGATGGAGGCAGTCCTCAACTCTAAAAAGAGCCCACAAATAACAACAACAACAAATGAGGTTTGCCTGGACAAAAAAGGTACCTACACTGCAGTCCAGCCAACAAGGACTCTGCTGTACAGGCTCTGATCATGCACAAGGCAGTCATCACCCCCAGATACCACCCTACAAATTGAGGTAGTTTAGGCCATGAAACACAAGCAAAGTAGACATCCACTTGCTTGCTTTGAAACTGCCACCAATGGCAGGTGCACCATGCATTCGGTGAACGATTTTGCAAACAGGGAATGTCGTTCCTCATTTACTTTCTCTGTGCCACACATGCTGTTACAGATCCTTCCCTCCATCCTCTCATTCCCAGGCTGAAGAGCCCAACTTTATGTAGTTGCAACCGTTATGGAAGCTATTCCAGACAAGCTCTTCCACACTTCTGATTATCCTACAAGAGGTCTATTTCTTGAATTCTGTTTGCACTTTTGGCCTCTTCTCAAGATTTGAGTGTACGACAGTTTTATGTAGTGGAACGGTGATGTTTGCTGTTTTGTTCTCTATGCAATTTTTAAAATTTTTCAAACATTGCTTGCTTTTTTGTCCTCTGCTGAATACAGTGGGAGTTTTATTTTTTTCTTTTAGAAATAGCAATTGTAACTCCAAGTCATGTCTGCATACATAAGTTAAGACCTCCCTATGCGTATTATTTTATGTTTATCAATGATTAATTTTGTCCATCAGTATCATGAGACATTGTTGCAAACCCCTACAGCAATCTTTAATTTCTCCTATCCTGAATAATTTAAGTACTATCAGTGAACTTTGCCACCTCTGGCATCTCCTCCCCTCCCTGTATCTTTCAAAACATTTGTAAGTTGAACATCACAGGCTCTTACAGATTCGTTGGATCTCTAGTGATGAATTCCCTCCATTGCAAAAATGGGCAATATATTCTTACTATTTGCTTCTTATTTTTTAACTGGTTATTACTGAGAGGCCCGTATCTCTTACCCTATGATACTTCGGTTTCTTCAGGAGCCTTTGATGAAGGACATGCTTAAATGAATTTTGGAAGACCAACTAGCTTCTATCGAATGGATCTCTCTCGTCCATATGTTCAGTTACTTTTTCAAAGAAATTTTAGAGATTCTGGGTTTCTCTATGAAAGCTATGCTGATTCTTCCCCTTTTTATCATACTTATCCATAAATCTAATGATTTAGAAGGGGGCCTAGGAAGTATTGCAGCTCCTACTAATTTTCTCAGATTAGGTGTCATATTTATCACCTCCATTTTTTTCAGACCAGGAAACTTTTAAGCATTACACCGTTGTTACTGGCTTGACAGTTTTGTACTCTAGTTCTTTTAACTTGCATGGATACCATCTGAACATATTTTACTGTTCATTGTTGCCAGTTTCTTCTGAAATCTCTTCTAACAATGCTTTTATTGGTGACAAATCTTCTGATATGTTCTTGACAGAGAAATATGCCAGAATGGGTATGCCCCTAAATACCTTCCCTACTTTGATCACTTACTAGTCCTGTAGATTTTCTGTCAAGATTTTACGTACTTAAAGACAGCTTGGAAATGGCTTTATTACTAGTTTTTGCCAAGTTGTTCTTCAAAATCTCTTTTGGCCTGCCTTATTTTGTTTATATATTTAACTTGTTTATACTTTATTTTCCTCATTTAAGCACAACTTCAACTTGAAGAAAGCCCTTTTACTTTTAATAAAAGAAGTCCTTTTAATAAGAGACATCCTCTTACTCCTTCACCCTGCTGTTCGGCTATGCAAACCTTTTTTTGGTCTTTTAAAGCCTTTTTCTGGAAGTCAGCTTGCAGTGAGCTCCCATATTTAAACAATCTTCATGACTCCTATAAACATTTTAAGTTTTGCCTCTCTTTCTTTTTAAACAGTTTTCACATTCTTATGTAGTTTCCTCTTTGAAGTTAAACATTGCCATGGGAGATTTTTTCCCCTTTTGTTTGCTATTTCAAGAATACGGCATCTAAGTACGTTAGTTGCTGTCACACAGAGGTTTTAGCTGTATTTTGAACCAGGTTTTTCTGTCACTGCTTAAGACCAGGTCCTAGAGTTATTTAGAATTACTTAGAATTACTTTCTTTTTTTCAAGATAAACAAATAACCTATGTATAAGCAATCATTTACAAAACCTAAAATTTTACTCAGAATCACCCCCCAGCCCATTTACGCAATCTCAGTTTGGTAAACGATGTCTCCCATTGTTATTGCATTTCCCGCCTTCATGCCTGTTTGATCTTGTCTAGGTTGTCAAAGGCAATGCCACCATTTAAGTAGGACAGTTGATACTACAGTCCTAATACTGTACTGCAGTCCTGTGGTGCTACAGTTCTACTTTTCTTATTTAGCCTTGTAATTTCAATCTGTAGGGACTCTTTGGTTTTGTGACATAGTTAATCTATGAGATTTGACTCTAAGTTTTCTTCAAGACAAAAAAAACCTGCTCTTTGACAGGCATGACTTTACCTGTCTTTCCCATGTAATTTGTCACTGATATTAGCCTGTCATGTTGATTATTTTTCTTCCACTAAGTTTTTAATGTGTCTGTTACATCAACATTCTCATTTATAACCAGTAACTCTAGTTTTGACACTTTTTTCCCCAGACTTTTAATATTTGTACAGAAACACAGATATATTTGGTCCAATTGTCTGTTTCTTTGCTCTGGTTAAGGGGAGCTCTTGGTTGTTCCTATTTATTTAAGAATACTGAATTTCTTGTACTGACAGATTTTTTTGTGACACAGCACAGCATCCAAAATGTCATATGTTTTCTGCATCTTAACAAGAGCTTCTCAATTCTTCAGTACTTCAGTGTGGCTAAGTACAACTCAGAATGAGCTCTCCTACTAGGCTCACCAAGGAAAAAGTACTGTTTGTGAGACAATGCAGCGGACTGAATTTTTAGCTAGCCCTTATTTCTGCTGACCTCGAAGAGTACAGTAAGAGTCAGTTAAAATTAGTGAGAA